TCATATATTTTTTTAAAAGTTATTTATTACGATAAATTTACATGATATATAAGTGTGCATTGTCTTTTAATTATAAAAATTATGGTGTAAAAGTAGTAATATTTTAAATATATATTACTATGTATGCATAAGGATGGCTCCCATACCGGGCAGGTCCCCGCCCAACCCCGTCCCTGTTATGACGGGTTTGAGGACCTATTTATGTAAATAGGGAGGGAGGATTGTATTTGAAACCCTGGTGGGGGACGGGGCGGGGCTAGGGGAGGGTAACCCCGCCCCTTCCCGCCCCGTTTATAATGCATTTTTACAAAACCGCCCTTACATGTTATAAAATATTTTTAAATTACATAACTATATATATAATATATTCACTTCTGAAACCCTAAATCTATTCCCTCGCAGCATAGTCGTTGTTGAAAGAATGTTATTTGTTTTGATTAATAATGTTGAAAATTTTCAAACTATTCTAAAAAATGTTATATGTGGTTTTATTATAAGTTTGATCGAGTTGAAATGATATCTTTTAAATTATTATAATTGTGCTGAACCTTTATTAAATTATTAGGTTAAAAAATATTATAGTTATGTTGATTTTGTTGAAGGTGAATTGAAATTTTTAAAAAGTTATGTGGAGTGGGGTGGGGCGAGGACGAGGGCTAATGTAGCTGGGCGAGGCAGGGACGGGAGAGGGGGTTGAAATTTAAACGAGGTATAAGGGCGGGGATGAGAGTAAAAAATTTAATTGGGAATAAGGATGAGAAATGAGATTCTCGTCCCATTTGCCATCCCTATTAGTATGCATTATGATCCTAAATTTAAGACCCTGCTAAATTTGCTCCAAGGCAAGCCCAGATCCACCCCCACTGAATTTTTTACTTACATTATGACCTATAGTTTTGTTAAAATTTTAAAAATATTCTACTATATATTCTTGGCTCCACTAATATTTTTGCGTCATAAAGAAAGTAAAGTAGTCGAGTCTCTCTCTCACATCTATGGAAAATTGGTAAGCATATCTCTCTCTCTCTCACACATCTAACATTACATATGGTGGGTATTTTTTTTTTGTTGTAAATATTGTCAACATCAATTACGCCAACTAATGAAAGATTATTAGGTGGATATTCAGTAGCATAAATAATGAAGTTATCATACAATATATATATATTTTCTTCCTTTCTTTTCATTAAGTGTTAAGCAATGTCTATAATTAATTTTACTCATGCGATTTGACCGTCAAATCTCTTTCCGAAATAATTGTCCTCACATTAAATACTCTTTATTTTTGTCAAAATAACTTTAGATTAAAAGATTAAAATATCTTTCAAAATTTTGTAAATTTACAAATTATATATATATACACAGACAAACATATATATATATATATATATATATATATATATATATACAAACACAAACACACACATATATATATATACATGTGTGTATATATATACACAAGCACAACACTACCGCCAACACCGGCGAGGATCTCGACGCAGGAGACCGTGGCCGAACAAGTGCATGAGACGACGGCGGGGCAGGCGAGCCATCATGGTGACGAGCTCCCGGGCAGCGACGACGATGATGTCGGCGTAGGAGACGATGGCAGGGCAGGCGAGCTCGAGGGCAGTCTTGGCGTGGACGACGTCGTCGGGGAGGGAGAGGTTGATGTCAGAGTCACGGTTGGCCTTGTTGATGGGAGTGGAGGAGATGAGGACGGAGGCGTCGCAACCCTCTGGTTCGTCGTCTTCCTTCCCACCAATGGTGCCGACGTGATCCTCTCGCTGTCCTTCAATTCTGATATGAGTTCAGTAGAATTTGGGGACATGGCGGAATCTGGGTTGGGCGTGAAATTTTGGTGTTGATGAGAGATGGGATTGAATAGAAATTGAGTTGGTCGTGGGGTTACAGTGATGGCCATGGCTGTAATTGTGAAATTGAAGTCCAGGAAGGTCTGTAACAATGGCGTAGTACTCGATTCTGGTGGGTGAGGCATCCAACGATGATGAAGCCACCAAATAGAGTTGCAATTGCGAACCAAGAAACTGCGATTGCGAACGGAAAGCGATAACCTAGGTCGGTGACGTCATTTCCGGCGAGCCTTCTCCCGTGGCAGGTGTGGGGGTTGTGGTGGAAGCATGGATACTAAAAATATTTGTCTTTTTACATATTTTTAGCTAAAGTTGTAACAGAAAAAATAAGAATGGGTTTATGTGATAGTTATATTTGAAAGATATTTAAGAGTGGAAAATAGTGAAATCTGAAGGGTGTGAATGAAATTAACTCATAAATATAAAACAACTATACACGAGTCCACAGCCCATTACAGACAGCCTTTACAGGCTATGATTGGACCATTTGGTCATACCAAAAAAAACCACAAAAGCGCAAAGCCCAAACAAGTTAGTGCTATAGTTAGAGAGTGCCAACAAAAGCGCAAAGCCCAAACAAAATTTATAAGCAAGCACCTAATAGATTTTAAAGTAACTAATTACGCTTAGAGTCATTAATCCACGTTTGTGTCTTAACACGAGATTGATTAATGTAACTTCTATCATTTGGGATTATATATATTTTTTTTCACTTACCAAAAAACAAAAATTTCAATTTTTGCTCCCAACACAAGCCACCATCTACAAAACAATATGCTCATAAATTCACATATTGTATTGAGTATCACACATGTAACCGATTATAGCAGAAATCATTATTCATAGATTCCTTACTCTGATAATTAGAATTTCGATAACTATAAAATGAACTTGTTCTAGTTCATATTTTTAATCTAAAAAATTTAATTTTCAATATCAAAATATATGGAATAACTGTGCTAATATTGAATCTCTTGATGTATGAAAGTAAATGTTAGATAAGATGGAGGATTGTTGATGTATTTCATTTAGAGGTTTATGTTGTTGACACTTTGACAATAGGGAGATTTTTAAGTTTTTGGAGAGATAATATCCCTCATTAAAAGGCATTCAAATAGAAGAATTTTAGAATGAGGAAGTTCACCTGGTGCAAGTTTAAATAAATATTTTAAAATGGCATAAAATATTTTTTTTATATTTACGGTCAACATGTCAGGGTCGGCGGGTCGAGCACCACTAATTTTTAACATTCTTGCCATATATATATATATATATATATATACATACAGAAAAAATCAACTCTATCATTTTTGTTTTACAATTAATAAATTAATCAATGTAATCATTTCATTTCTTTTCCTCCTAATTATTTAAACAGAGTGTGAAAGTATCTCGATCTTCTCATGATTCCATCGATTGGTAATGCTCTCCCCTCAACCATCAAAGTAAAGCCATTTAGTTAACAAAACTGTCACAAAATCTATCCATTTTCTAATAAATTACATATGGTCTTCAAGGATCTAGTCCAATTGAATAGCTCCTAATTCCAAATGAAATGTTAAATGTTTGAGTTCAATGCCGAAAATAAGCACCTTGCATAAACTATTTCCACGCATTTGGATGGATTTAAATCTGGTTCCAAGTAGAATTTGAATAATGACCTTTAAATGTTATCAGTTTGATTTATTTTTTTGTTATAGTTTAAAATTTGAACGACTCTTTGAATTGTGTTCACGATTTATTTATTTTTTTAATTTTAAAATGATTACTAACGCACACTCGTAAATGTCATTGTGTAAATTGAACCCCAAAGAATAGGTTTAAATAGGTGGGTCATCCAATGGTGTTGTGGTATAGGAAGCACAGATACTTCTACGAGAACGAAATACTCATATCAGATGCGTGTCGGATATTGATACTTTTCGGGATCTTACGCATACGTGTCCAATATTTCTTAAACATATCCATAATTTTAAAATATATTTTTTAATTTATGACATGTATTATTTCCGTTCCAATATAATTGTCCACTTTGTAAATTGTGACTCACATTACGAAATGGACAACTGTATTGGAACGAAGAGAGTATTTGATTGTAGTACCAAGTACTCGGGGGGTTTAAAATCATAATCAAGTAACAAATGGTGAGGTATAACTTTTAACATTGTAAAATTCGAGGTGAATTGATAGAGGTGAAAGTTCAGACAAACTTCAGAGAAATATAGAAAAGAGGATGGCATTATACAAAAACATCGTTGACTCCCTTGATAAAAGTTTGAAGTGTGGGGAAATATGAATCTCATGGAGAGCCTAAAGCTCTCTCCATGTGGGAGGTCATTTCTCCCTTCTTGTTTTTTTGGCCTAGATCACATTTTTATAGGCCAAGTAAGAGTGGGTGACGTATGGGTCCATTAACAAAATAATTAAAAGAGATTAATTTATCAAATAATTATAAATTAATATTAAATAAGATGGGGTTAAATGCTTGGAAGTCAAAATGGTATTTCTCTCTGTACAAGTCAAGCTGAGTGTCGATTCGACGAACCCTAAATTTTAGCCACCAAACCAAAACCTTCTTAGATTCTAAATAATCCTGAGTCCTGCTCCTAACTCAGGTCTTTATACTTCTGTTCAAAGTATGCTGATGTTAAGATAACTTTGACCGTTGACCAAGTTATGTGGCCCATCGCTACTGATGTGGGTGTAGCTGGTTAACCGTTTGACCGAGTTGTGCGGGCCACTTTTGATGATGTGGCGTTTGTCATATGGACTCTAAGGTGTGACACCCACACTGATACTTCTTACCTTCTTCATAGCACATTTTTTTTAAAATTTTGATTATTAAAATATAATTTTTTTTAACAATAATAACGTGATATAATTGCCAAAAAAAAAAAATCAAAATTTATTAAGTGATGAATAAGTAATACGAGGAATTTGTTTTTTTTGTTTACGTCCATGCTTGTTTTATATGTTTTGAAACGAGCTCTTGTGTTAAGTTAATAATTGCATTTAGATTTATAATATTTATTGAAAATTAAAAAAATTTAGATTCGTAATAATTGTATTTTTTAATTTTTTTTACCCTTATCTTTTTCTTTTTAAATAAAATTTGTCATATTGTATCGTATCGTTTCTGCATTTAGCATCCATGCTTCCTAGGGTCTCGGTTACGATCTGGTGAAACTGTGAAAGATTGCGGCTCGGATAGATCCGACCTGACCATTTCCAATAGCAATAGTCCGAATTGTGGGCAATATAGAAACAGAACTAGAGTTACAGTTGAAAATGGGTTTCGACAGTACTGTCTGGGAGGCCAATCCTACCCGCTGCTGAAGAATTCTTCAAGCGTTGTTTGTTTGCCGAGAAAATACTAGTTCATTTCCATTTCTAGAAAGTTTTAGAGCAATCGATTGATTGGTTAGTGCGATGGATAAGCTACTGCAGTTTGGGAGGAAAGCGATGTTCTACGTTAGGGTTCTCTCCGGCTACGAGGAGCGAAGAATCCGATCTTACAGATTGCAGCTTCAGAAGCGTATCGAACAGGTTTCATCTGCTTCCTCTGTCACAAATTTCTTTAATTCGTTGCCTCCAGTTCATATATGTGTGTCTTTGGGGTATGTTGAATTTGCTTTCTGTTCTTTTCTTATTGTACATTTCTATAATTCTTTTTTTGCCTCGAAGGAAATTCTGAATGGAAAGCATAATGATTTATTGTTGTTATTCTTCAATATTTTCTTTTCTTTAGTGCGAGTGTCATGTGTTTATTTCAAGGATATTCTAATTACCCAATTAAATATATGTTTGATTGTAGGTATACTAATGTTGTAATCATAGTTTTTGCTGTAATTTTGTAAATTTAAGAATAATGTTGACACTCATGTGCCGGAGCGGAGCAGATTGAGAAAAAGAAACTGGAAAATTTCGTCATATCTGGATCACAAGTCACCCTGTATAAATATCATAAAGTGATGAATTAAGTAAGATAAGGTCATTGCAAGTGTATATCGTGCGATTATTGCAATGAAAATTATTCCTTTTTTCAGGAAATTGTATTGAACTAGATACATTATGATGGGGTATCATAGTTTAGAAGCAATTTATTTTTTCCCTTCTAATCTATTGAGCTGATTTACTGATCTAAAGCTACATAGTTGAGTCCTGCTAATCTACTTAGCTTGGCTGGCCACACTTTCGGTGTGGGCGAACATATAGTTTATACAGACAGTCTCATGCTATTTTTCTTCGTAAATAAAAAGTGTTAAAACTTGTGAACTGGTCATGTCATGCTCAATGATCAATGTACCATGTCTTAATCACTATATTCTCAATTTTCCTGAAAAGAGAAATAAGGTACTGATTCTTGGATATATAAGTGTATAAAGGCGGACACTCTCTCGTACCACCTTGTATGGTCATCTATGTTTCCTAGTTTTCATCCTAACAAATGTCCCTACAATAATGAGAATTCTTGTAAAACAAACAAAGCTATGATTTATTTACCCAAAATATAAAATAAAAACGAAGCTATGATTTGGGGGAAATGCCCGTACAATATCATAAGTCGTGTCTATGTTGACACGTATTTGAAAGGTGTGGCTGTCTCGTGCCTTAGAAAGGGGAATGATATTTACTTATCAAAAAAAAGAAAAAAGAAAAAAGAAAAAGAAAAAAAGAAAGGCGAATGATATCACAAGTCACTTTTCAAAGGATGAAGAAGGTAAAGGAGAAAGACATGGAGAAAAAGCTCCATTATTCTTTTCCTGAGGGACAAAAGAGAGCCATAAGGTAGCCTTAACATTTGTTCAAAGTGGTGTTGGTGAGTTGTTTGACTCCATCAGATTTATTCAAGTAAAAGCAATTCATCTCTAGTCCAATATTTATTTATTTCTCTGAATATCATCTCTGCTGAATCTTAATTTACCATTACGTTGAAAAAATAAAACACATTTAGGCTCTGTTTGTTTGAGCATAAAATATTTTCTGTGTTTTCTGGTGTTTGGTTGTCGTAAAATATTTACCAAGAAAATAAATATTAAAACCTAACAAAAATAACTTATTCATTAATTTTCGGTAAGCTATTTTACACGCCTCACTCAAAGGACACGACCTGACCTCTGCCAAATACCGAAAAATAAAAATAAAAACAATATTTTACCTAATAAAAGAAAATATTTTCCGAGAAAAATATTTTACGGGCCTACTTACAAATTTGACTTCAAAATTTCCAAATATTAGAAGAAAGGTTTCCTAACATGAAAATATATAAACCCTAAATTATGTTTTTATATAATGTTAATATACAAATGTTATATGATGTATGTCACGATCTGCCCCACACCATGCATATATTGCCCGCTTTGCGCACTCTCCTCTCGATGTTCACGAATTTCCTCAAAATATGTCTACAGGGTTAATGGGTGTCCACACGTATAAATGCTATGAACTTCTCCCCCCGAGCCGATGTGGGATGTCACAATCACCCTCTCTTGGGACCCAGCGGCCTCACTGGCTTGACCTGCATGGCTTGTTCACATCCCCCATTTCCAACTAGGGATTGGCTCTGATACCATCTGTCATGACCCACCCCGCACCGTGTATATATTGTCCACTTAGCACACTCTCCTCTCCTTAATGCTGCTGAAAGAAATTATGCACAGGTTTACTCAGATCAGTGAAGTATGTATCTTCCATTGGAAACTTGATTAACCAGTTTGATAGATGGCTTATAATAGTACTTACCAATACTGGGAATCAAAGACCTTGTATTGTTATGTAATGACAGAGAATCCGCTATTTTTTATAAGGTGATATTTGTCTGAATGCCTGGTCATTATGATAGTTATTCTGTTTGCATCTCATCCAATTCTAGCAATTTTCTGTTCTTATTCCTGTTCCTAATAGTAATAGTTGTTCTTATTATTATCTTTATTTGGATAGGTATCTTTTGGTTCTAGTGTAATTGTTTTAATATTCCTTATCATGAAGCATTGGCATTGCTCTTTCAGTGTTCTGATGTCTCTCTCTCTCTCTCTCTCTCTCTCCAGGCAGAGGCAAAGAAGGCAGCTCTGAGAAAGATTCCTGAACAGGTTATTTTATCAGAGGTTCGGCGTATGGTTGACGAGATGCAAGCTTTGAATAGGCAGCTAGAAGACACCGTGAGTTTCACATTGTTAATTTCTCTCCATGTTTAGGTTGAATCCTTAAGATATAGAGTGATTAACACCACAACTGACCTTAATTTGCCTGATTATAATATCATTGACCAAGTCATGGTCTTAAAAGTACCTTATAATGTTTTTAAAAGTACCTTATAATGTTTCAAGGATGTTAAAAATAGAAAGGAAAAATAACTGCCTTAGCCTAATTTGATTGAGGAGAAATGGAAAGAAAAGAAAGAAAGGTAATGGAGGGAAACAGTATATTGCGTTTGGAATGAAATTTTGGAAGGAAAAGAAAGGAAATGGAGGGATTTGGAGGGATACAAATTAGGCATGATGAATAGGTTTGCTATCCTCCCAAAAATAGGGGGAAATAGAAGGAAAGGGCTACAAAATTTAATGAAACTTTTTCAATACCAAATTTGCCCTTCTTTTTATTAAAGAAAATCAAATACCAGATGAGTCCTTGGATATATTTTTGTTCTCTTCAGCCATTTCTTTGTGTTCAGAGTGTCATTTTGGTTTGAATGAACGTTTAGCACAATTTTTATATTTGTCTTACCACTTCCCACCTTTATATTTATCTTATAAATGTGAAAGGGTATAGTGGTAAATTTATTAAAATAGTTTTCTTTCCTTTCTTTTACCTCATTAATCAATCAAACACGAGGAAAGGTTAACACTATCCTCTCGTTTCTTTTCTTTTCTCTCATAACTAATGTTATTCTTTCTTTTCTTTTCCCTCAAATCATACTAAACCTAGCCTTAGGTTATTTTGAACATTAATTGAAGTGCTTGAGAAAATAAAAGCTTTAGTTTGGTTAGAGTGGTTGCTGGACAGAGGGTGATATATAGAAGATTGGTGGGCTTAATATCTTTCATTATTATATGCCAGAAAAGGATTACACACCAGTAGATTTACTTTCGAGCTAGTTACTGGTTTGTGATGAAGGATTTTAAAAGGTCATTCTGGAATTTGGTGTTGAGGACATTTTGAACATCATCGTTTATGAGGAAAAATGAGTTTGATCTTATTGGGAACCCTATCTGTTATTGGAAAGAGCTTTTTAGGAGGTCCTGATTATGTGTTATTGACAGATAGGGAAAATGACTATTCTCTGTGGAAATGCTCTGAATGATCTTCTTTATTATGACACGAATGGACTATTAGGTTTCTTTTGCTGAGTGATGGTAACCTGCTATCTGTAATTAAGCTCGCCATCTCGCCAGTTTTTGCCCTCAAAAAAATTATCAAACTGTTGACGGGATATATGGCACTCGTATTAAATATATAATATAAGTTATGAAAGTTAAATATTAAAGTGATTATAGTGTATATAGTAATTTTGAACTTATTGTCATGGCTATTCAGCTGTAAGGATTGGAAGGCATGGGCTGCTTCTGCACGAACCAAACACAATTTACAAGTTTAAGGTGGATGACTTCACCGTAGAACTCAGTCAAACTAAATTATGATCTGTTTGGTCAACCAAATTGAAATATGTGACACTGTTTAGAAGACCATTGGAAGCTTTGTAAATTTTAATTGATGAAGTGAAGTTGAAAGTGGGGAATTAGGATTTCACTGATGTGGATTCAAAGTTATTTAGAAGGGTAAAATGGCAAACATATTTGTAAGTTCTTTTACATTGATTTGATCCACTGAAAGTAACTGACTGTTTTTTATGGGTTATTGATATCGCTGGAGCTTTGGATTGCACCTGCAACTTAGCTAAATGGGGTGCTATGAATTTGATAATGTAACTATTTTGCTTTTTGGTGGTGGGAGAAGGCATGTTTGGGTTTGGCCTGCTTGTAAAATGCTTCTTACCCTTGGAGGCTTTTTTTTTTTTTTTTGTGTGTGTGGTGGGGGAAGGCGTGTTCCAAGTGCTTTTTCGTGGTCCAGTATATACACATCTACCTCTGAACTCATGCGTTCTTCCAATAAACTATTATAGAAGAGGGCACGCAGAATCTGAAGTCAACTCCTCTTCTAAGGAACTCAAAAGCTTTAATTTGACATTTTCAGGATTTAATCAAAAATACAAATTGGTCATCACAGCTTCATACTTGATCTTGCCTTGATTTGTATTTAAAAGATTGTGTTTCTGATTAACCTTTTTCTAGTTATTTTTTTTGGAATTTTTTACTAGATTGGAAGGTGTCAACTATTTTTGAGTTTGGCAGTTTTCTGTTTCTTCCACTCCGTCTCCTCGCTGGCTGGCAATTTATTGGTTCTGGGTGAATGATTTTTCCAGTTTCTGAGAATTGTGTGGTTATGTGCAGGAGTCTGCCATTGAAAAATATTTTAAGCCACTTGACAAGGAGGCTGAGATTGTAATGAAAACGCAGCTTGAAGGAGAGGAAAAGACAATGAAGGAGATGATGAACGCCATGCAAACACAGGCTTTACTTGAGAAAGCAGAAGCAGAGAAAATTGCAAATGCGGCCAATGCAGATACGAACGAACTTCCACAGGACAAAGCATCCACGACCGCATCTCGTGCAGAAGTAGGATAATGCCTTGGAACACCAACAGCAGTAGATTCATAAATTTCTTTGTAAGAGTGCATCTCTCTTTTGTCCACTGTTTTGGTTGCTTGTCATAATTTAGTATGATCCTAGCAATGCCTAGGGCAGAGAGTCCACCTTGTTCAGTTTGAATAACAGAGGCAACATTTGTTCGGTAAAAACAAAGTTATGTTTTGTCTAACATAAAAGTTTGTAGATTATTCCTCCTCAAAATCTGCTTCACCTGAAAGAATTATAGGTAGATGGTTATATATACATTCGATTTTTGTGCCATGAAATGTCCAATTTATTTTTCTTTTTCGACAAAATGAATCTAAGTTTGACGAGGTTTTCAGTTTCCATTTCTCTTATCATCATTTTTGCTTGTGGCTATACTATATTGGCCAGTTGCTGTACTATTTTATTAAATCCCTTGTGTTGTCTTCAAGATGATACCGTAAAACAGGGTGAATTTAAGTTCATACAATCTGAACCGAAACAATCTGAATAGTGTAGTATGGTTCAGTTTTTTTATTCGATGGTAAAAATGTCAAAAGAATTGTCAATTCAAAAGGACCATAATTGTCTTACATATATATGTATGGCTTGTGGTGCTTAGGCGGTTGAGTGGATGGTTTACCTATAATTAACTAGTAGAAATTTGGCTTCATCTTGTTTGGAATTCGTTGAGTGTCAACATCCAATGTCACTAGTATTTTAGATTCACCTTTATCTGTATTGTTGGTATTATGATATAAACAATCGAGAGAGTTCACTTAGAGGAGGTTGAAATGTGCATTTTTATGATTCTGTGATTTGGATGGAAGTAAATCTTTGGATAATATGTCTATAGATGTCCTGTACACTAAGCAGACAGTAGAAGAAATTATTTTGGTGGAGAAATTCGATTCCTGGTCAGGTTTTGCAGTGGAATTATTGTTATGGATTGTGACAGTCAAATGTGTGAACAAAATTCAAATTAAGGTGAAAATTTATTGTGATGGTGTCTTGAATTGTGTGAGAGAACTTTTTGGGTCAAGTAAGCTAAGAATGCATGCAACTAACATCTTAAGAGGGGATCCGAATCCTTTCGGGTCCGATGTTACTACATTAAATCTAAATGAAAATTGTAAGAAGTATAAATAGATTGGGTGTTAGTTCAGCCAGACTTAGTCTTTCATCCAGTCTCATGCCAAACGCTCGATCCGAAAAAGTTCGAGTGTGCCACCCGGATAAGCAGAGTGCCCCTCCGCAACAAAGGAGCATTCCAAGGGTAGAATAACTACTACTCTTAATATTTGTAAATCACCAATTAAGTTAATTGTGTAATTTATTAAGATGATATGAAATATGTAGTAATTTCGTAAATTTCTATTCAATATTTTATTTTATTTGTTATATTTGTATTTTAAAATTACGTAGTAAAATTATATTAAACAAGTTAATAAACGGATTAGGTCGGATTATTGATGGCACAAACCAGATGACTTGTGTCGTTTTTAAATAAATCTTGAATCAAACATGATTTGTCATTCTTTTATCGTGCTTCTTAAAACATTCCCGTCGACGCATATAATCTCCAAATTGTGACCGAAGGGTTGTCATTAGATTATTTTATTGTAATTACTATATCTCAACTTTATACAATAATAAATAATAAAAAATAAAAAAAGGGACAATCTTTTTTCGGTGACCAAGTGGGGAGGGAAACTTGTGAATTTTCTTTGATAAAAATCATAAAACTGTGTTTTTGGGTGGAAATTGTGAAAGTAGATAAGTTCATTAATCTTAATGGTAGGTCTTTCTTTTTAAAGGGCTTCAATCTTTGCGTGTTTTTCGGTCAGAATTAAACCATGTGTCTTATCAATTGCTTTCATATTTGCCCACCATCTCCTTCTTTGTCTTTAGATATAAGGATCCTCTGCTTGCTTGCGTAGACGATTCAGAAGCATCACAAGTGTAAATGTGTAATCTCTGACACCCGTAACCATTGTAAATCGTCCGATGTTTAAAAAAAAAGTCTCATCACAACATTTTTAATGTGCTTTGATCATCCAACGATATGAGTGCGTGAGCTCATTAAAAAGCGTCTCATCGCAATTTTTTTCTATACTTTATAATAACCAAGTCCTCTTAGGAATTATTTAATTTGTTTGCTTATGAACTGTTTGGACTTTGATTGATCAGTGAAAGCTGCATCAAGCCAACTCTATTTGCAAACTATGTATCCAAAAAAAAAAAAAAAACGCTATTTGCAAACGACATTGTGTGTTTCTTGGGGCCCAAATTGAAAAACAGAATATATTTATCTTCAATTGTCAATTTTATCTTCATTTGACCTCAATAATAACTAAATTTCATTTTAAAATAAATACAATTTAGATAAGCATTACAAGTGTTTGGCTGAAAAGAATATTTGGGTGAATTTTTTTTATATATAGCCTCTGAGTCATTTTTTTGCCTTAGTTGTTGTTCTTGCCTGGTATAAAAATAAAGTCTTTAATTCAAGTGGAAGATAAACTAAATATATATATATTTAAAGTTGAAGATGTTATAAGGATTATGAGATAGAATATTAAAATATATAATTAATTATTACGCGATGACTTATAAATGTATCATAAAGTAAAACTCTAAAATAACATAATTTTCAAAGAGAATTCATTGGAAAACATTGGAAAATGAAGCTGATGTTCCTATAGTTGAAAAAGGGGGCACCACTAGTTTGACTTGGCATTGAAACGTTTCTAACAATTTAATTAACAAGCACTGTTTATTTTATATTTTAATTCTTTTTGGGCTTAAGAAAAAGAGAAAAGCGAGAAAACGTTGTGATTATTATATTTAGACATCAAGTATATATATCATATAAAGTTCAAGTTAAACTTGATGGTGCACCCAAGTTAAAATTGAATTGAATTTTTTTTTTACTCGGAAGGGACTGTTTTACTCCATAAAAGGTTTACTGTTTCTCAATTCTCATGGTTAGTATGGAGAGGCATGTACTCTGATGCAACCAAATCGCTGTCAAATGGGCTTTTGGTCAGCTGAGGTGGGCGGGCACTTCCGGTTCTACCTTCTAACATATTTTATTTGAGAGGACGAGAATATGATATGATACGGATTCAATGATATATATATTAATTCTATGTTCGGAGTATTGAATTGATGCTTTAAATTTAGAAATAAAAAAAATTTAGTGCAAAGTTTGAACTAAATTTTTTTTAATTACAAATTTAAAGTACCAATTTTATACTTCCAAACACAACATAAATTTCAAAATATAAGGTTGCAAATATTGTAGTGATGCTCAAATAATAATAATATAATATAATATTTTATATAAAAAATAATAATTTTTACTCATTTTATTCACATTATTATAAATAAAATCACTAATTTTGAGTTTAGAATTAGATGTGTTATTTTCCTAATTAAGAGGGATGGACGTAGCATACAAGCGGTGCCCCCACTGATGTTATTATTATTATTATATAGTAGTAATTTTTATTTTTTTTCAATTATACACTTATGAAATTTTAATATTGCCCCCTAAAATTTTACAAAAATCCCCCTGTTGCCCCCTCACGTCATTTCCTTGGTCCGTCCATGCTAATTAACACATAAAATTTATAGACGGTAGACATGGAGATGATATGATTTAGACACATCGGCACCTTGAGTTCTAAAATAAATAGACATGCTAAAGCATGGACAAATCTATATATAAATATAGATTGTTATTTATATACATATATTGAGTAAGACTAATATATAACTTTAACTCATTTTTAAATTTATAGTAATGATGCATTTGGTGTGTAGGAATGAAATGCTTAATCTAACCATTTCTTTGTTTGATATATAATTTAAAGTGGGAATAATCATTCCATTGGAATGAAAATTTATTTCATAACTAAATCTATAGAATGACCATTCTATTGCCAAGTAAATTTTTTTTTATATAAAAAAATCAAGTTTCCAAAAAACCCTTGTGTACCGCAAGTTTGAAAAACACCACCACCATCGCCACCACTACCACTGCTTTCCACCATCATCACCACCACCTTCCACCAAAACCATCACCGCATTTCACCACCATCACCTCCATTGTCTTTCATCACCGTCACTACCATCACCACCATTGTTGTCGCATTAAATCACCACGCCGCCGCAGCCTCCACTACCTTCCACCATCACCACCATCGCCGACTTCCACCACTACCACCGCTTTTTGCCCACCACTACCACCTTTGGCCACCGCCACCTCCATTGCCTTCCACCACCATCATTGCCACCACTATCACCATTACCGCCACACTGCCACCTTCCACCACGTATACCACTACCATCGCCGTCACTGCCATCGCCACTACTGGCTCCACCTTTCACCATCACCACATTGCCTATAGCTCCACTGCCTTCCACTGCCATGGCCACCTCCACCACTATTGCCACTGGCTTCTTCTACCACTACCTCCATTGCCACCGATTTCCACTAATGCCATTGCTTCTACCACCACTGCCACTTCTATTGACTGGATTCCACCACTGTCGCTATCGTCAGCTCTACCACTGTCGCTGCCTTCTACCGCCATCACCTTCATTGTTGCTACTACCACCACCGCTGCCACCTCCACCATCATCGCCTTCTACCACCAGTGTCACCTTCACTATCTTCCACTAACACCACCATTGTTACCTTCACCACTATCGTCGTCTTTCACAACCACCACATTGCCACTGCCTTCAGTGCCTCCACCACCACTTCTTTCCCACCACCGCCATCGCCACCTCAACTGCCTTCCACCACCACCATTGTCACGTACATTGCCTTCCATCACAACCTACATCACTGCCGCCTTCCGCCACCACAACCTACATCACTGTCGCCTTCCACCACCTCCGCCACCTTTACCACTGTAGCCTTCCAACATTACTACCTGCATCTACCACCGCCGTCATTTCTTTTAAAAACTTATAAAAGAATGTTATTTTATTAATTTAATTTATTTATCACTAAGAAGGGTATTTTTTAGAATTTAATTTAAAATTCATTTCATTCTGAATTTTAAATTCATCCAACTAAATCTAGAATGATTATTATCATTTCATTCCTACACGTTTCGTATTTGTAACTAAATAATACAATAAGAATGATCATTCCATTCTTATTTCCATTTTCATTCTATTCTCACTCATGTAGACCACAACATAAGAGTTAATTCTGACATAAAATTCCTCGGTTACTATAATGGTTGTTTTTAACGTATATTGATGTTATTTCACTATTTTGTCAGTATAATTATGTTTTTCCTTCAAAATGAAAAATATAATTGCATAATGCATGGTTGACTTGTGACCATATGTATACTGTTAATTTTTCTTAGAGAATAAAATTATTATTATTATTATTTTTAATTTTTGAAAACTAAGAATAAAATTGAATGCTTTGAAACATGTTCATACTATTTCCAAGATCACCTAACAATATAAGATGAATGTTCAGACGAAAGTGTCAATTAAGCACTTAGGAAATGTAGTGAAGTGTCAAAAATTCTGAATAAATTTATTTTATTTTTAAATTCTAGACACGTGTGTAATTACTTGATACGTATCTAATAAGTGTCCATAAAGTGTTGATGTTGAGCATGAATAGATCTTTTAAAAAAAGTTTGTGCCTTAAAATATTCTTCTAATAAAAATAATTACAAAATTATCTCGTGTCCAACTAGAAAAATATTCAAATTTCAAAATATTTTTAGCCATGTTATACGCTTGTATGGGTCTTGTTTCATGTGTTGGATGTCAACATGACACCTCTAAAAAAGGTATTCATGTTTTTTAGGTAGACTCATATGGTTACATTGCTTTAAAAATTAAATAGAAAATGATAATAAAAAATAATAATGATAAGTATAGAATAAAATTAATAATAAAGTTGATAACAGTAAAAATAATTATAATAAAAATGCAATATTCAACCCCATCCATACAAAAAAAAAAAAAAAAAAAAAAAAAAAAGGGAATAAATGCAAGAATAGTAACGTATTGTAAATTTTAAAATTCACAGATCACTTTACAACATTTCACCTTTTGTGAAACTGTGTCGATGAATAAGAATATTGGAGCACATTATCACTTTCGATTAATTATATTTCTAGAAGGCCGACTAACTAAATATATTTATCAACATAATGTCATCATATACGCACGACATTATAAATATTTTTCATTATCTACATAAAGAATGTAGAGAGTAGGGAAAAAATCGCCAAACAAAGATTCTTTTTACTCTGGTTAATGGTATGTATTTTTTTTTTTTTCTTCACAATGTTATCATATATTTACCATGACTTTTTAGATTTAGAAGAAAAGTCTTGTTAGTCAACTATATATGCAATAATGTTGCTCTATCTTCAAGTCCATTTTAATATTTTTTGGGTTAAAAAATTGGTTATATATGCAATCAAAAGGAATTGGAAGATTACAAGATCATCAAAATAAAGCAATATAAAGTTGAAACATTTACTTCATACACATTACAATACAACCAGGGGTTGTACAAATACAACCCCCTTCACATTTCACCTCCCTTTCCCAAAACCCAACCATTGGTTAGATTCCTCTCCATGGTCTTCTCTTTTTCGCATTGGATTGTACAGATTCCCAGCTAAAAAAACCCATCTCAATCCCTTCACTTCTTCTGATTTTTGCTATTTACAGTGGTTTTCTGAGACTTTAAGATACATATTCTTCTGGGTCTTCTTGGGCTTTCTTTCTCTGTAGTCTCTGCAAAACTTATATGGGTTTCTTGTGTAAAAACCATTAAAGGATTGAAGAGAATAATCATAGTTTTCTAATTTTTCATTTTTATTTAACTTTTTGTTCAGAGTTGAGACAAAACTAGTTCATTTTGCTTTTCAATTTTCTTTGCAATTTTCTCCTTTGAAATTTAGGAAGGGAAAGAAATAGACAGAGATGGTCAAGGACGGACCTTGTTATCATTGTGGTGTTACAAGTGAGTTTTTGTTTCTTCATTTTTCATTAATTTTCAATTTTCAAGAAAAATTGTTCCTTTTCGGCTCTTTCTTTTTCTTTTTTTAATTATTTTTTATTTTTTATTTTTAAAATATCAGTGAAGGGTTGCATATGCTTAGATTGATTTGTTCATTCATAGAGGATAGTCCAAATGTGCTGATTTATTTCTGAATGGAATTGACTACCGAAATAACATGTGCTGTGATGTATATTAAGTGTGTTTTTGGGTATTATTTGAATCTTCGAATATCAATACTGATTTCAAGTTTGAGTCTGTTGATGAATTGGGTTTTTCGTCCATTCTCTTAAAAGTTATGGCACTATTCAGTATTGGGAATTTAGCTCGGAGACTTTGAGAAATGGGCAATTTTCAGAGTCTAATTTGTTTCACTTTGTTTATCCATTGTTCTTGAGGTGTTTCTACTAAAAATTAATCCTTCCACCAAGTCAAACCACACTTCCTTGTTGCTTCCTCCTTTTCGAATTATTATTCATTTTAAAAATATGGTTTTGCGGTACCATGTTCTACTTCCTTTGTGTGTCAAATATAGTTTGACCTGTGTTTCTTGCTGATTAAAGAACAGTCGGGCAACATTTACTTCCAAGCAATGAGTCTGCTATTTGTTCAAATTCATTTTTTCTCAATGTTTGTCAATGTAGAATGTCTGTTCTGATTCAATTTGTAATTGGTTGTCACCGATATTGTTCTGTGATAGCTTATAAGCCAGGAAGTACCTTTCAAACAAATGATATTGTGTTTGTTCTATTCTACTCTACCTAAATGAAAATCAATCATATTAAATCATATTTTCAATCTTTTCTGATAGATATGCGTTGTCTAGCAGCTTTTCCCTTCAACCTGTTCATTTATTTATGTCAAGGATTGCTTAACTTCTTAATAGGATCCAAAGTATAGTCCTGAACATACATGTCTTTGTGTTACTTTCTTCGGCCAACAGAAATTGATTTGGTATTCTAGTAACTTATTGGGTATTGCACTTGCTGGAAGTTCTCTCATTATAGTTTCTATTTTAAAAGAATTTGGTACATGTATCTTTAGTTTTTTGGTACTTTAGTGCCTCGTCTCAACTATGCAAAGTTTCATCCAACTATATGGGTTCATGCATGCAATTTATTTCTGCTGCAACTTTTAATCGGTTGCTAAATTCTTTTGAGTCTTTCTTTGCCTAAAGACTTACTAGAGTATTAGTCATGCAAGATGGGCAAAAATAGGCTTTTTTGAGTTACAGTATTGTTTTGTTCTAGTTTTTCTTCTGTAAGAGCTAAAAACTTAGAATGCCTAGGTTAGTAATATTAAATGGGTCGTGGAGTACATATTGTCATAGGAAGCACCCTAAGTCATTTTTGCGGCTTGGAAACTTTGGAGGACCAGTTTCAGATGATTTATTGAAAGTAGAGAGCTCCATTCATTGTCTAAGTATTAAAGAATCCCTGGTTCGGTGTCTTTTCAAATGAGGGTTGCAGTTTCAATTCTATGAACTATCAATGCCCTCGATTATCTATATTTATCTGGTTGTTGTGTTAAACTTCCATGCAAGAGCATCCATTACATTACATCATTAGTTGTTGCTAGCCTTAGGCATTAGTATATTGCATCCAAATGAAAAAACTTTCTAAATTCTCCTTATTGTAGATTAAGATACTTGTGGTCCTAAAAAATCCTTGCAAGTAAGAGTCCAGAACAATCAGTTTGTTTTCTTCTTGTATGCTACTGAACTTTTCTTTCTTCCCGTTGAGAGTCACTTACTTTGGTGGTGCTATATTATTTGTTTGCAGATTGTGTTAGATAAGCTCTCCCCTTTCCTCCTGAGCACAATGGAACCTCTATTCCTGGTCTTCTCTCATGTTTAAGCACACTTATGTGTATGGTCCTAATAGTTGCAACTTTTATGTCTAGGATTCATGACGGATTTTTTTAGCACTCAAAAGTAGAACCTGGAACTGCATTCTAATTTTAGAGGTATGACTATATCTCAAACAGTGGCTGTCAGTCGTTCTCGGTCTGTGCTGTCATGAGATACTGTTTTCTTCTTTTTATTTTATATCATAGAAAGAACAAAATGATATTCACATGCATTTCTTGCATCTTCCTTATTGCTTATAGGTTACAAGGCTACATGAAAGTACTGTTTAAATGGTCACTGCAATTTTGAAAATAATGCAGTTCAACAATCTCTTCATAAGAAACTCAAAACATTTCACAGAATCTTGTAAAGGAATGAGCACTGGTCACAGATTAATAGCTTTTTCATGGCAAGCATATGTTTTCTTAATGTTGTTACTTCTCTATCTTCTTAACTGCATTGTTCTCAATATATCAAGAACAAGTTTATCTTCTAAATATAGCAGTTGTTCTTGTCATGTTTACATGACCTTTTTGAAGATACAGATGAGCAGTTCCATTTCGTTCTATGTTTATCTATTTTATTATCTTTAACGATTCTTCTCTGCAATTGATTTATTTGTGTTAATATCTGACAATCATTTTGCTACAGGCACCCCTCTTTGGCGCAATGGGCCTCCTGATAAGCCAGTACTTTGTAATGCATGTGGATCCCGGTGGAGAACAAAAGGAACACTTGCAAACTATACCCCTCTGCATGCTAGGGCTGGACTTGATGAATTCGAGGCTTACAGGGTTGCAAGAGTGAAGAGCATATCCATTAAAAATAGAGAATCAAAGGTGCTTAAAAGAAAGCGAAATCATGGCAATGCTTTTGATGAAGGAATTGCCTCTGATCATAACCAGGGGTTTCGCAAGACTTTTGATGAAGATACAAGTAATAGATCAAGTTCAGGCTCTGCAATATCTAACTCTGAGAGCTGTGCACAGTTTGGTAGTGCAGACGCAAGTGATTTGACAGGTTGGTCAGTCACCATATCTGCATGATTTATGTCTACAATCTCAATACTACTTAATGTCAACGACCATTCTCTTCCCCCTTTAATTAAAACCTTAGAGCACTGATTTATCCATTGTTAGAATGATTCCTTTTTCCATTTTATTCTTTTAATTTTTTTTTTTAGTTAATAGAATGAAGATGTACGATGAGGATTTGCATAGCATAATGTTTTATGTAGCAAGAGAGGTAATATTCCACTTCAAATGTAAACTTGCCTGTTAAATATGGTTCAAGCCTTCAAGGGTTTCTAAGACACTCGCACCATTATTTAGCCTGTAGGACTAAAGAAGTTGTTACATGAATAGGAAAATTTAATAATTTTCCAAGATTTGGGTTGATACTTTCCAAACGTGGCTCAAGTGCTTGTTGACATCTTTAATTTTTTAATTTTAATTTTTTTTTTAACTTGTCAAAAAAAAAAAAAAATGTTTTTTTTTTCTTTAGTAACAAGTTCTACTGACATTTTTTTTTTTTTTTTCTTAGTTGGTACTCACACACACATACTTCTACCGAGGCTCGAACCCCTAACTTCCCTTTGAGAAGTAGGATCCTGGTACCACTAGGCCACTGGCCTGTTGGTAAGTTCTACTGACATTTATATTCATAGACAGACCCTTATACACAATGTATAGACGCTCTTTTGTTTTTACTGAAAAAACAGAGCAAACCACGATTTCATCTTCTAGTTCTCTAAGGGATAATCTGACATGGCAACTATTAAGAGAGTAGAACTGTGACCGCCTCTGTAGGCGGATGTGATGTGGGCTAGCACTGGCAGGCTATAGGGTGTCATGATCCCATATCGTTTGGGAAAGGTGAATTGCTATATGTAAGTTCTACACTCTTCTATGACACAATGAGTTTTAAAGCCGTGATGGTCGTGAACCTACCAGAACTCCGAGGTTAAGTGTGCTTAACCTGGAGTAGTACCAGGATGGGTGACCCCCTGGGAAGTTCTGGTCCGAGGGAGCCAAAAGCGGACAATTTTGTATTTAGGTAGGGTGAGAGTTGTTACAAATGGTATCAGAGCTGGAACCCAGTCGGAAGTGTGGCCAACGAGGACTTAGGGCCCCATGGGGGGTGATTGTGACGACCTCTGTGGGAAGGTGTGATGTGGGCGAGCACTGGCAGGCTATAAGGTGTTCATGATCCCACATCGCCTGGGAAAGGTGAAGTGCTATATGTAAGTTCTACACCTTTCTATGACACAACGCGTTTTAAAGTCATGATGTTAGTGAACCTACCAGAACTCTGAGGAGTACCAGGATGGGTGACCCCCGGGAAGTTTTTGGCCCGGGGGAGCAAAAAATGGACAGTATTGTGTCTAAGCAGGGTGAGGGTTGTTACAAGAACTTGGACGTGCCAAATAACACAACAACATGAAAATATTAGCTTTTATACGTATAGATAGCTAAATATACTTTTGATTAATATTCTCAGTTTTATGAGAGTAAGAGGCTGACCAAAACTAACACTAGATGAAGTAATTAGATTTAAAAAATTAATTATAAGCTTTTCAAAAGTTTCTTGCATTCATATGGCTGCTGCATATTGCTAACTCTTGCAAATGCTTTCTCCTTCATCATCCTTTTAGGCCCAGCTCAATCTGTCGTATGGGATACAACGGTACCTTCAAGGAAGAGGACCTGCGTCGGTCGTCCCAAGACATCTCCATTTGAGAAGCTTACTAAAGATTTATATACCATCTTACATGAAGAGAAGTCTTCATATTTCTCTGAATCTTCTGAAAATGATTTACTTTTTGAGAGTGATACACCAATGGTCTCTGTTGAGATAGGACATGGAAGTGTTCTTATCCGACATCCAAGCTCAATAGCTCGAGAAGATGAATCTGAAGTGAGCTCCCTTTCGGTCAATAACAAACCACTTCCTGCAAATGAGGCCTATTCACGTTTGACTATTCTTCCTGTAAATGTTGATAACAAGGGGGCCAATTTTCAACATACGGGGATTGAGGAGATCAAAAAGCCCACTAAACAAGGGATGCAACAGGAGAAAATGGAAAGGTATTTATTTCCTCTTATCAATTTGGAATACATATAACTGACAATCCACGAATATGAGATTTTTAAGACAGAAGACTTCAGTTCATCTGAGATGCAATATAACTATGAATAGAAACACTGGTCTTACCATGGTACAAAGTCCAGTAGACAGCTCACAAGGAAAAGATAGAATTGTCCATGTCTTATTGTCATGTACTTAGGCTGAAGAATCAGTTCTAATGAAAGTCCTGGGGCAAATAATACTTTAGCCATTCTGCTCTGCAGAACTTATACTTTACTGGGGATATAAAGCTAGATAAATAATCATATAAACTTCTGGCATTAAGTCAGAAGTGATACACGCACACCTGAGGGCTAAACCACACTAAAACAAGGGGGCCATGGCCTGTTTAGGAGTCCCATTAACAATAAGTTTTGTGAAAATATTAACATTTTCCCTCTGTGGCCCCCCCAAAGACTTAGAGAATCTCAATTTGTACTGTTTTAGCCTTGTCTTTGCTCAAATCTGATGGGGAAATAAATATGGCCATTGCTACAGTAGTCCTTGCTATACTCCAGTCATTTATATAATATATATTTATATAACTATACATACATACATATATATATATATTTACATACATATATATATATATATAACTCTAGGACATTTAGAAAAGGGATTGAAAAATCATGAGAGGGAGAGAGATGCCCGACACTCAACAGATTCCCTCTAAGTGAGTTAGGAACTCCCAAGTGCAGGGTTCTGGATCTGTCCTGGGCACACTCATCTGAAGTTACTTTGTTCCTATTTTAGAAGGAATATAAAAAATATTTTGCTTCTTTGTTTCAAATCTGCAGTCTCCATTTATTTATTTTGTTGTCAATTTGCAGGGGCAAAGCTCTGACAGAAAAGCTACAGATTTTGGGAAATATTAATTCACCTTTATGTTATATAGATCTCAAGGTAAGTTGCATATGGATGTTTTTTTTTCTTTTGATGGTATGCTATAAAGCCAACACTTGCGATCTTGATGTCCTCAGCTAACTATTGTGTTAGTAGCCTTATTGTTGAAGACATTTGTCAGGGCCATTTAAACAATGTTCTCCAGTTATGTAATTTTTTTTTTCATTATATTAGTGTTTCGTTTATCATATAGAATAGACGTATTCATATAGATGATGAATTTACCATCTCTTGTGAATTCTTAGTTCATTTAGAAAATTACAGTACAATGAGGTTCAACTTTTCTATTTCCTTCTGTAGAATGTTTTCTTAATCTCGACTCTTCAGAAATTCTGGCCAGATCTTTTGTTCTTTCTCCCATGGAGTGAATCTGATATCAAATTTGCATCTAAATCATCATGGTTGATCATTTTGGACAGTTTTCTTAATTATTGTTGATTACTATCATGATTGATGCCTATTTATGATGCAGGATGTTCTGAACTTTAACAAATTTTCCAGTTTTCTGACATATGAAGAACAGCAGCAATTACTGAAGTATCTACCTTCAGTTGATACTGCCAGATTTCCTGATAGGTCTGTATCTTTGTTTTTCTTATATTATTCTGATTTTTAGTGGCTTAGCACGGAGATAGTTTTAGTTGAAAGGTTAATTACTATGGAATTATATTGTTAAGATTTTATGACAAGTTATTCAAGGAAATCATTTCTCATGAGCTTCTTCAAAGATGTGACTTATTTTTCTTTGATTGTTATGCACAGAGTACTTAACATATTGTAATGGGATTTTAATGCATGGTGCGGCGCTGATGGTGATCTTTGTTGTTTTATTTACAGCCTTAAAAGCATGTTCAATTGCCCACAATTGGAGGAAAACCTGTTTTCCTTTCAGAAACTCCTTGCGGAAGGGGTTTTTGATCTCTCTTTTTCGGGAGGGAATACTGAGGAATATAGGGTCTTGAAGAGGCTTGCGCTATGCAATTTTTCTAAATCCAAATGGGTGGAACAGTATAATCTAGTCAAGGTTTGGACTGATTACCTATAAAATAGATGCCAAGTTTTAAAAAGTTGCTGTTTTTAAATGAATGCGCAACTGTGTTGATATGAAGTATTTTATTGTTGTAGGATGTAAAATATAAAACTAGTGTTGGTTCTTCAGACCCTGGAGGGCTTAATTCAATCTCATTAGGCGATTCTGTAATTTTGAAAAGATTCCGAGATAGCCAACATCAGAATAATCCAGGTTAGTGAATTTTTTCTCTTCTGTCAATAAACATATTTCAGAAAAATTCACTGTAGCTGAGGGTTGAACAATGACTGAATTTAAAAAAGGACAACACTTGCCTACTCACCGGTGAGTAGGAAGTTCATACTCACCACCGATGTGTCGCAAAAATAGAGTGACACATCTCCACCAATACAAAATAATAAAAATAAAAAAATTGAGAGGCTATTCGGGTTAAACCCAATAGCATCCGAATCAAATCCTAATATAATTCTCGTCTCTATCTTTCTCACCCTTCCAAAACCCTAACCTGTCTCTCTTTATCTTATCCTACTTGCCCAATTCTATTATGTCTTTCACTCTCGACTGCTTAACCTTCCGTCCAACACCTCAATTTTTCTCCATCACCATATAGCCCTATAGAAGAGCATAGAAAACATCAATTTGTGGCAACAAAAAACATTATATTAGGGGAATCAAACGGGTGAATTGGATTAGGATAGGAGAAGTAAATGTTGGTTAATGAAGAGAAGCCTCATCGAGAAGGAAACATTGATATGCAGTCTTCATCCCCATGCATATTAACTGCTATATCAAATTTCAGAACAAAGAACTTTCAGGATTTACAATAATTTAAGAAATTAAGAATCAAGAGACTTCTTGATCTTCCTTTTCCTCCTCTGCATCTACTTCTCTTCTTCTTCTTCCCGTTCTCCGGAGACACGAGAGGAGTTTCTCTCTTTAAAAATAAGAGAGAGAGAGAGAGAGAGAGGGAGAGGCGGATGAGATTAGGGAATCGTGAGAAAGAGGGAGAGGAGAGAGAATTAGGATTTGATTCGGATTCATTTGGGTTTAACCCGAATAACTATCAAATTATTTATTTTTTTATTATTTTAAATATGAGGACACTTGTCAGTTTAACATTGTGCCACATCGGTGGTGAGTATGAACTTCCTACTCACCGGTGAGTAGGCAAGTATTGTCTTTTAAAAAATTCTAATTAAAAAGGCCATTAAGCAGCATTTGTGTTCTATTGAGGCTGCTGAGAGGGTAGATTGGCTATGGAATTATTTGCAAAAAGTAGCTGCCTCGGACTCAAACCCTGCAGTCCCTCTTTGCAACTTATTATTTGGAATGAACCTAGGAATAATTCTAGTAGTTTCTGATTTAATAGAAGAAAATAGAACATGAAATGCCAACTAAAAGGAGCATACATGAGCTTAGGGGATTTTAATTATAACCACATTCCTCTTTCTTTTCCGTGGTGGTCCTACAGGGTATCAGTTAAGCATGTCAGGTACAGACTTCTGTTAGGTTTTAGCATCATCTGATATTCAAATCTTAAGACACATGGATGCAGCTGAATTATTTAAATGGTTACTTATCTCCTTCAAAACTGGAGTGAAATGAAGTTTTTCCCATGCATTCATGTCTCTAATGAGATAGGAATAATTTCTCCCTTCTTTGATTGATACACGTGCTTTGTTTGTCCAAAATCCAGCACATTTTGAGCCCATATGATGTTGTCTTTCTGGTACTGTGAGAAATATGAACCCAATTAAAGGGTAAAATCTATCTCCTTCCAACCTTGGTTACAACTTCCGTTTTAAGAATTGAATGGAAATTCATTGAACAACTTGGTGTCGTTTTTTTTTTTTTTTTCTTCCAAGCACGACTCACTCATCAATCAATCCCCCCCACCCCCCACAACAACACACACAACCCCCCTTCCTACCCATAGTGCACTATAAATTCCAAAAGTATATTCTCATGAGTAATCACTTATACAAGGGAAGTGGTATTTTAAGCATGTTAGAGCAGAAACCAATAAAAGGTTATTGTCATGGATTTACATCTAAAGTTGTAATGGAGTAATGAGGCTCAAAATTTAATCCCCGAACCTACATGAATTAGTTATAATATTGTGTCAAGTGAATGAAGAGGAAACTTTTTTACTTGCACGAGTTTCTTCTACTTTCACCTTGTTGAATAACTTGAATTTGAATCGTCTTTGCTGTCAACTTTTTTAATCATGCACATTCAAATAACTTTCAAGATATACAGTGCATCTTTCAGGAACAAAGATGACACTGAAGAGCTCCAAAAGGGCGATTATGAAGGGAATATATGAACACAATGAACTCGTGGATGATGACAGCTCATGCTTTAGTACAAAAAGCCTATTTGCTTTGCCTCCTGATAGTAGCTCCCTCATGCTGGACACTTTCCGTTGTATGGATGAAAGTTCTGATCAGGGTCTGTTACTGGATGTGCCATCCAGTAGCTCCTTTCCACAGGCCGAGCTCCTTTTTCCAACATCAAGTTTTTGTTCACGGGCAAGTGACAGAGAGTAGCTCAGAATACCCACATATTGCCCGTCCCTGACAATGTTTGTCAAGACACTATTTCAGTGATTGTGGCTATTTTTGTACCACCTCAGCCAAAATCTATCATAGGGCTCTGCTTATTCTGCATGCAGAGCATACAAAAACCTAAGTGAATGAGGTTTTGATGGTTGCATTTTCTCTTCTTGACCTATATTAAACTTAAAATGCAAGGAATGAGTGCAAGTGGGTGTTTTTGTACAGGTTGACAGAATATTGTAAATTTGTAATATGTACCTCAAAATGCAGAAGAGGTGGTATATTCAGGAGCTTTTGTATGCATCTTAGTTGCTTAAACTTTGAGACATTGGGTTTTCACAAATTTCACATAACATAAAAGCTATTAGTCCCTAGTGTCTTGTGAAGCATCATGTCTAAGAAGAAAGGAATAGCAATAGGTTCCTAAGGAAGCATTCAAAAACTAGTAGATTTGCCGGATGACGAATTTCTGTAAAGTCCAAGAAAATAAAAAATCCACTTCCAAGATTTCATCTATATTGAATCTGAATATTAGAATAGCTTATTTGATTCGGATTGTTTTGATGCTATGACCTCAAAAGGTGGAAAATTCTCCCTTGGTTCGATCACAGTTGAATGAAGAGTTGTTGAACATATTGAAGGGCATGCTAGAAATGTTGAATAATTCTAGGGAAGGAGAAAGTCAAGCCCAGTGCGATGACATTTAAAAAACGTGGACTTCCATCCCTAGTTCTCAGCAAATCCAAAAGTCAAGGTCAAAGAACAAAAGACAAATAAGAGGTGCACAAAACGGAAAAAGGGGACACTGCTAAGGTGTAAGAGGAATATGAAAATAGCAAAAGCTTCACATGAAGGTCAGAATATGGAGTTTTAGAAAATTGGTGAAGTTGAGGAGCAGAAGGAGGCTGAAGATTATGTAAGAGGGCAAGAGCTAAATTTAATTACACAATTTAATTTGGGTTATGCTTTGACATGATTCTGGATGATCCATCCTCTAAAATTCTCACCCACCCAAACGGCCTATCGTGACACCGGATCAAAGAATCAAGCGTGCTCTAATACCACAAAATTGGGTTTGCTATAAGAGCATTTTTAGCAGTCTGTTAAAACATTTTTTTATGTAAAATATACACTATCACGTATGATGTGTAATTTTTTTTTTGTCTCCAGCATTTTGTTAAGATACATTGTCACGTCATTAATGTGTAAAATTGTTGTACATTTTATACAACTTTTTTACACAGCCACTTTAGTATATTTTATTTCTCCTTCTTCTTTCTCATTCCATAAATTAATCAACTCATATATTAAGTAGGTTTGTAAAAATTATGTGGGATCTAGATATGACATTGATTGATTGTTATTGGGGGATATATTTTTACACAAAAAGTATAAAATAACCGCGGGAGCTAAAAATAAATAATTCAAATTTTTTGTGTAAATCTATTATGACATATCAGATTTACACAAAAAAAAATATACATAAAATGCTCTAATATCACTTATAATGGGTAGGATACTCGCCATTTTGACCTAAAAGTATAAGTTGGGTTGAACGCTTGTGATTTAGACTCAAAAGTTTAAGTTGTTGGATAGAGATGCCAATTGAGTGGTTTGGGGCAGGGAACGCCATCCCCATTCCCGTTTAAAATATCTATCCCTATCCCTGCCCCAAAACAGTTTATTAAACGGGGCAAGGCGAAACGGGGCGGGAGCTAGTTTTGTAAAGTATTTTCGTAATTGTAATACGAATCTAACGAAAGTAAAATAATAAAACAAAATTTTAACTATAATAATAATTCTTTTTCTCTTATGTGGATAAAAACAAAATTCAATTTCTTAATTAAAACTTTAAACTGAAATTATTGTTAGAACATCAAAATAATACATAAAAAGTCTCAAATAAGAATAATACAAAAGAATATTTAGTGATCAGAATGAAATAAGTTAGAATTTGTTTATTATACACCTAATATTATTGAATATAAAATAAAGTATAAGGACAAAATTATAATTTATCACTATAAACGGGACGGGATGAGAATGGAGAGAGGGCCTTTCCCTATCCCCGCCCCATAACCATGCGGATTTTCAATCCTACCCCCATCTCCGGTCTCCAAAATCATTTAATCACCCTCAGAACCATTCTAAACGGAATGGATATTTTGTTATCCTGGCCATTGGATAATAGTGTATGCCGGTCCTTATTCATTTAAGACTCTCTCTATACAAATTTAATGTGAGATAAGAATTTTCATAACCACCCCGCAAAATCCCGAAATTATCATAGGAGTATTGACTAAATTATCAGACATTCGGAAATCTTTGGTGGCTACCACATAGGCCGATGACAAGTCATGCACAGATGAGAACCTTCGTTTGGTGATCATGGATGGTGTTAGAAATAACCCCCACAAGCCAAAAAAATGAAAAATATTTTACATATAGGTAAGAAATAATAAGACCAACTTGGAAATATGGAGTTAAAAATAACTTTTAAAAAACAGTTAATATTAGAGAAATGTCACACACTAAAATAATTGTACAAATGATGATGTTAAACTTCTTGACGCTGAAAATTAAATAATTTATATTTTGTTTGATAAGAATGTAGAAACTTAAATAGAATGGAGAGGCCGAGGGAGGGATGTAAGAGAAATTCTAATTATTATTTCGTTTCTTATATCATCTCTATCATGAATGAGATATTTTTTAAAAAATTATTTTTAAGTTACACAGGTTTTCCAAGACATTTTTTGAAATTCCTATTATACTACTTGATCAATGAATTTGATTGGGCTTAGCGTGTGACTCAAAGGGTGCGTTTGTCTTACCATTTGAAAAAAAAAAAACCAACGCGTAACGTGTCAATTTCTCATCAACTTTCTCTGGAGCGACAAACACGAAATTGTCAGCCACGTGTCAGATATCAACCCTCCTCCTAACGTGTCAAATTTACATTTTACTTCGCGCCACGTGGTAGAACTGACAATACGTGGAACGCGGGGGTAAAATTGCCATAAACCCTAAAATAGAAAACTCTGTTTAGTTGTGAAACATTTTCGTCACACTGACGCTCTCATAGTTACACAGATGATGAACCAACGAATCGACCATATCAAACGTTAAAATTCTCGATCATACCACACTCTCTTCAGATGCCTAAATCACATCGATTCTTCTAAACAATTACAACAACTTGTTTTCAGGTACTATCGCGTTTCACTCTCTGTTTGTTACATTCAATACCCTAATTTGTTTATCCTTTTCTATAAATTCATTGCTTATTTCCATGCATTTAAAGTATAGATTTGTTTACCCTTTAACGCTTGTTATAATTCGTTCAATTCTGAACCCTAAATTTGATTTCTTTTTTATTGTTTTATTTTTTAGTTTTCTCATTACCATGCATTTGAAGTATAATTTTGTTTACCCTTTAACGTTTGCTATAATTGGTTCAAATCTGAATCCTAAATTTGATTTATTTTTGCCAAATATTCTTTAGTTTTCTCATCAACCGAACGGTGGGTCTTCTTTTGAGTTTGAGAATGGTGTCGTTGTCAAATGGTGGTTTACCTGATGGGAATCCGAACAAGCGGCCGATACCCGCCGGTGGTGGTTCATCTTCTGGTGTTGTTTTGCCCAAGTATAAGCCTAGGAGAGTTTCATGTGTTCGTGATTTTCCGCCAATGTGTGGACCGAATGCTCCTGGGATCAATTTGAGGCCTCGGGAGACGGGGGTGGCATTGGTTAGTGATGAGAAAATTTCTGTGGGCGGTGAAAGTAAGGTTGGTGTTGTAGAGACGTATTGTGATAAAACTGCTGAGGTTGGGGATAGGTCCGAGTCTCATGAATTAGTAAAAAGTCTGGTAAAGTTGGAAACGCTTGAATCGGTGGATGATTTGGTGGGGAAGGTGGTTTCTGCAGATGGGATGGTTCATGGGGATGATAAATTGTCGCCAAAGGTGGACTCTTTAAGAACTGGATTGGAGAAAGACTCAGAAGATCCATCAGAAGTGTCGAAAGAGTCGCATGAGGTGCAGGTTCAAATTAAGGTGGAAAATGTAGGTGCACTGGAAAACGAACCTGCATTGGAAATTGGTGCTCCAGCTGATGGGGTTGTCCCAGTGGGTAGTGCAAAATTGCGGTCTGCACCGAAGTGGTCAGAGGCTGCTGTCCTGAAAGCTAAATATCGCCCAAGAAGAGTTTCAGCTACCCGTGACTTTCCTGCATTTTGTGGAATAAATGCTCCGGCACCAACTGAGGAAGAGCGCAGTAGGATTCTCTCTGCGAACAGGAGTTTGGGTGCAGAGAAGACTGGTGTTGAAGATGGGCCATCGAGTGAGACAGCGAGAACTGCTGTAGAAGATGGACCACCAGTGGAAACAATGAGGACTAGTCTTGAAGAAGCGGAAAGGAATGTTCAGGACAGAAATGCCCAGAAGAAGGAATTGAAAGGAATTGCATCTGAACACAGGAACAAGTCCGAGACAGTAAATAGGCCATCAAGAGAGACAGTGAGGACTGCTGTGGAAGACGGGCCGCCGATAGAAACAATGAGGGCTAGTCTGGAAGAAGGGGAGAGGAATGTCCAGGACAGAAATGCCCAGAAGAAGGAATTGAAAGGAATTGATCCAAGGAACAAGTCCCAGACAGTAAATAGGCCATCAAGAGAGGCAGTGAGGACTGCTGTGGAAGACAGGCCACCAGCAGAAACAATGGGGTCTAGTCTGGAAGAAGCGGAAAGGAATGTCCAGAACAGAAATGCCCAGAAGAAGGAATTGAAAGGAATTGTGTCTGAACCAAGGAACGAGTCCCAGACAGTAAATGAAGAGAGTAAAGCTGATGTCAGAGGATCAACTGGAAAAGGGGGTCTGGAGATGGTTGTTTACTCGCATGATAGAAGTCTTAAGAGAATGCCTTTGGGTGATCCTGTTGGTTTGGGATATGATGCGGACAGGGTAATTGTGCAATGTCTGATGGCTGCACCAAATTGTCCATGGAGGCAGGGGAGAGGGGCTTCAAAAATTAGTTCAGCTGAAGGTGTGAGTGAAAGCAAGGAAAAGAAACATGATTTCACCCCACGAGAGAAGTCTAAACGTGTTTCCAGGACAAAAAATCACAAAGCAGATTATTCGGGAGAAAAATCTATGGAGGAGGAATCATTATCTGCTGGAAAGATGGATTTTGAAGGAATAGAGAGTGAAAGCAAGGAAAAGAAACATGATTTCACCCCACGAGAGAAGTCTAAAGGTGTTTCCAGGAAAAAAAATCACAAAGCAGATTATTTGGGAGAAAAATCTATGAAGGAGGAATCAGTATCTGCTGGAAAGACGGCTTTTGAAGGAATAGATGTACCAATAGATGAGGATGAGGAGGATTCTGTTGCTCATGACGAGGAGCTGCATAAAAGCTCTCCTGCAGGTAAGAGACTACATACTTTTGATGTGAGCTTGCCTCCTTTTGGTCCCAATAGTTCAAGTTATGGTGATGCTCGTAACAAAGTCAGGGAAACGCTACGTCTGTTCCAAGCCATTTGTAGAAAGCTCTTGCAAGGAGAAGAAGCAAAGTTGAGGCAAGGAGGATATACAAAGTTGAGGCAAGGAGGAGATACAAAGTCGAAGCAGAAAGGACCTACAAGGATTGATCTTGAGGCAGCAAAGATTGTCAGAGACAAGGGAAAAGAAGTTAACACAGGCAAACAAATTTTGGGACCAGTCCCGGGAGTTGAAGTAGGTGATGAATTTCAGTACAGGGTGGAACTTGCTCTTATTGGCGTTCATCGCCTGTACCAGGCTGGTATAGATTACATAAAACAGGGTAAAGATATTATTGCGACTAGTATTGTTGCTTCAGGGGGTTACGCTGATGACCTTGACAATGCTGATGTTTTAATATACTCTGGTCAAGGAGGAAATCCAAGTGGCCCAGATAAGAAGGCTGAAGACCAGAAGCTTGAAAGAGGAAACTTGGCTTTAAAGAATAGTATTTCATCACAGAATCCTGTACGAGTGATCCGTGGATTCAAAGAGACAAAGGCCTCTAACTCTGATGCAAGAGCTAAGATAGTTGCAACATACACTTATGATGGCCTGTACACCGTACAGAGGTACTGGCAGGAACCTGGACAGCATGGTAAACTGGTTTTTAAGTTTGTGTTACATAGAAATCCAGGCCAACCAGAGCTTGCTTGGAAAGAAGTGAAAAAGTCTAAAAAGTTTAAAATACGGGAAGGTCTTTGTGTTGATGATATATCAGAAGGGAAAGAGCTCTTTCCTATTTGTGCTGTGAACCCAATTGACAATGAGAAACCCCCGCCATTCAATTACATAGAACAGATGATTTATCCTGTTTGGTACCGGCCTATTCCACCTAAAGGTTGTGACTGTATTGATGGGTGCTCAGATTCTAAGAAATGTTCATGTGTAGTCAAGAATGGGGGAGAGATTCCGTACAATCATAATGGCGCTATCGTGGAAGTGAAGCCCCTTGTTTATGAGTGTGGTCCTTCTTGCAAATGCCCTCCTTCTTGCTATAATAGAGTTAGCCAGAACGGTATCAAAATTCAGCTTGAGATCTTCAAAACATTGTCAAGGGGCTGGGGTGTTAGATCCCTAACTTCTATTTCATCTGGAAGTTTTATATGCGAGTATGTAGGAGAGCTTCTTGAAGACAAAGAAGCTGAACAGAGAACTGGTAATGATGAGTATCTGTTTGATATCGGGCAAAACTACAGTGACTGTTCTCTTGGTGATGGACTTCGTACTCTCAAGCCTGATGCACAGTCAGGTTCTAGTGTGGTTATGGAGGAGGGTGGCTACACCATTGATGCAGCACAATATGGAAATATTGGGAGGTTCATCAATCATAGTTGTTCCCCTAACCTTTATGCTCAGAATGTCATTTATGATCATGATGACACGAGAATGCCCCACATAATGTTCTTTGCAGCAGAGAATATTCCTCCCTTACAGGAGCTGACTTATCATTATAATTATTCAATAGATCAGGTTCATGATTCCAATGGAAATATCAAGATAAAGAGGTGCTATTGTGGTTCAACGGAGTGTACTGGAAGGATGTATTGAGGCATACTGTGGAAAAAGTTTCAATACTCAAAAAAGCAGGGATACCTTGTTTTCACTGTAAGTTCTCTTTGGATTCTTGGCACCGTTCCAGCTTTATTTTCTTCTGTATTGCTTGATATGTCGTAGTGAATATATGCCAGCATGGCCTGTCCAGTTTCGTTAAAGGCCTGCCTAGGCTCCAGGCTTATACAGGCGCAACACTTGCGCCTGTTGTGTACCAAGGTGTGCCTTTGGCAACATTTGCGCCTTTAATATGGAAAATGAATATTTTATAATAGTAATTTAATTTTTCAATTGTGTGCCTCGCTTCACTCAGGCGCACCCCCTCACATTGCGTCTAGGCTCCAAAGGACTTCTAGCGCTTTACTGCACCTTGGGCCTTTGATATCACTGATCCTGTCTTGCCTTTATGGAAACACACATCCATTGCAGCACCCACAGTCACATATATCATCAACAAGGATACATTTTTTCTTGTCTCCTAACACAATAAAGCACATATGAACAAAGGTAAGGAATGTTTGCGACTTTTAAAAATAAGGGAGATATTCATAGTTGTAGATTTATCATGGTGTCAAATTAATGGCATGTAGAAAAATTTCAGGCTGGTAAAGCCCTCTCTCTCAAACTCAATGACTCTCAAACTCAACATTTGTGTGCCAAATCCATTGATAATTTGTCCATACAATTCATATTGTTCCTTTTTTTTTATTCCTCTAATTTCATAGGCTTTGTAGTCTCCTTTGTTTAGTACTTTACGACAGACTTGTTCTTACTGAAATTGAAGATTTTATGTCGGACCATTGACAAATATCATGTAGTGACTGGTGAGACATGATCTTTTTAATTTTACAGTTTGTATCTACTATCTAGTATTCTAATGTTTTATCATGTTTAGTGATGAATAAATTACAGATTTTTCATGTTATTTATTTACAGTATTTGTTTATATTTGGTGAGCTAATGTACTCCAAAATTATTTGGGTGGGGTTGTTGAAGCTTTATGTTCCCTAAATGTTTATGTTTTTTTTCTTCAAAAACTTGTGTGTGTTTTAAGCTTGTTCATGTACTCCTTAAGAATTCCTTGAGCTGTACAACTCTATTTTTTGAGATTGTACAATTCCCAATCCATTTTATAATTTGATTCTGAAGATCCTCTTTTGTTCCCAACCAGAATTCTAATTAACAACCCTGGACGAAACTAGCCTTGTTCTTAAAAAATAATAAAAATTTAAAAGAATCCCAACTTATGGAATTCTTTGCACAAAGTGGATGCCTTTACTAATCACAGTTTGTTTATATCCGAAATAACAGAATCTGACATGCCTTGCTTCTGTGGTGGTTGTGCTTCATATAATGTTAAGTTATAGTGTGGCATTATTTGATTGATGTGCAGGAATTTTGCCCCTAACTTCTTAACTTTGATCAGCCTTTGGTTCTTGTTTGGACGACTATGCTATAATTTATGGAAGCAAAAAAAAGAAGTTGAAAAACCGGTTTAAGAGAAGTATTTTTACTGGGACAGATTCTGAGGAAGTGGTAGATTGGACGGCTACTGCAGAGCACTGTTCTGATGTTGATCATTTGCAGCACAAAGTAACATTTGGTTGTAAGTTCTACCTTAGAAGAGTTTAGCTTTTACGAACGAGGTGGACAACTGCCGTCCTGTCGTGGTCAGATAACCACATTTTTTAATTTATTAAAAAATGAACTATCTATTGTACATGTCACTTGATCAGTGATTTGGGATAGAAATCTCAAAATACTTCGTAATTTGGCAAATCCTTTGAACTCTATTAGAGCTGTTGGAATTTTTGACCCCGCTGTTCTTGTAAATTCTGTTTTTTTGGTTTTCCCTTCAAAAAAAAAAAGTAGAAAACCTGAAACAAAGGAATTTCTGTGCTGGCCTTCCCTTCTTTTTTTTTTTTTTTTGGTTCTCTCCTCTCCTGCCAGTGAATGATCTAGCAGTGTTGAGAATTTGTGCGTATGAATCTCTTTGGCATAATGCACAGCTGGTTATTTGTAAGTGTTTTTGCATTGCAATCTTTATGTCCTTTAGCAGCAAGGAAATGTTCTTTGTGTGTGTGTCTGCGCGTGCGCGCGCGGAACTGTTAGTTTATTCAATGGGAGAATGGGATATTATATCTTTTTGCATTCATTTCACAGGATGGATAGCTTGCATTTGGACATTGTTTTACATTCTTCAGAACTTTTAACAGAAAAGGATTTATTATATGAAACCATATTGAAAGGTTAGGATGAAGGTTTTGAGTTTTTGGAGTCATCTTTCAGTTAGTTTCACTTTGGAGAAACCTATATATTATGTGATATGACCATAGATAATAGTGACTATTATCTATTTATTGTAATCCTCTAAAACTATAATTCATTACTATTTTATTTTAATATCATATAGTCTTGATAATGCTCTTCAATAATGGCCAAAAGATCTGAATTTATTCATGTTCTCTGCCTAAACAAAGTACACACCCCAATTCTTTATTCAGCAAAGCTAACAGCACCATCTCTAACACTGCATTCAAACACAAACTTGCTCTCTTAAAATATTACGAGTAGAAAATAACTATTAAGCAGTTCCTAATTCTCCATGCTATACACATGTAGATTATGGGACTTTTATAGAGCTCAATTGAGCTGAATGCCTGTCTCATAAACAACCCCAGCCTTCCAGTCACCAGGGATCACATTCCTCAGCGGCATCCACTTCACCCCGGCATAGCCGTTCACCTGGAACCTCAGGTCAAGTCCACCCTTTGGTGGGTTGGCCATGTCCCAGACCGCGCCATAGGCCCTTCGCATGCCCCTCCATTCTTTGCAATCCTCCTGCCACAATTCGACTGCTGTGATTTCGTTTATGCCTGCTTGGTACAAGGCGACTAGGGCTAGGTACTCCGGGAACCTGCTGTTCTCGTGGACCTTGAACATGAGTTTGTAACCAGGGTACCGGCAGGGGATTCTCTGGTATTCTATGTCAACCACGCCGTACGCCAACAGCTCTGCAGCCATGTTTGGGAAGGCGAGTCTTGTGTAAGCTCGTGCGCTGAGGACAAAGTCTGTGTGGTCTCCTTCACCGTGGTCGGTCACCACCACCTTCACTCCATCATCAGTGCATAACTTAGGCACCTTGCACCTAACCTGAAATTATTTAAAAACAAGTTAGCATCATTGTGAATACAAAGGCCAAAGGACCACTTGTTTATTGCACTTCACTAGAACTACTAATTAAGAAGTATTCTAAGGCAACTTCATGCCCCTGTTTAGTCATGTTTCCAAGTTGTATTCTTCTTTTTCCAACATCATCAACCAATATTGTTTATTCCATCCCTAAACTTACTTTTGAAACTCGATATTGTTGTTTTCTTGAAGTTCCCAAACATACCCTTAAAAGTTTCTTAATGTCAGGGTTTGTTTGATTTGTCATTCAGAAAATAGTTATTAAGAACTCAGTTTTTTTCACGGAGTATTCAAAAACTGTTCTCAGAAACTGTCAACCAAATAGGTTTTTGTACAGTTTTCTGATTTTCAGTTCCCATAAGCAAGCCGGCTTATTTGCAAACTCAAATGTTACATAAAGTGCCTTGAAGTTTACCTGATAGCATGCACCACAGCCAGTTCCATTCCTGTACAGCCTAGAAACTCCAGTCACTTCACCACCATTAACAGTTCTTCCATATTCACTATAGCCACAAGCTCCAGCTGATTCAAAACATCATGTTAGAACATGCAAACCATGATGGTTCAATCATTCATAATCACATGCATTAATAACCTCACACACACAAATAGTATAAAAACACACACAAAAATACATGGATACATGTGAATGTATATATATGTATATAGGTGAGAGGTACACATACTTGGAGTCCCTAAGCAATCAGGGCTACCATAGAAGGTTGCTCTAGATGACACAAAATAGTCTTGATCAGAGTAGCAAAGTGCAGGCAAAAGCACCATGACAGAGAAAAGTAAGCAACAGTATTTTAGTGCAAAACCCATGTCTCAGAAATCAATATAAATGATTCTTTAACACTATTATGAGAAGATAACAATTGAAGAAGATGATGAACTATGAGAGAGATTGTGAGATGGGAAGTTCAGAAATGCAAATCCCATATTTATAGTTGAGGTGAAGATGGCTGGCACTGAGTAAACTTGCCTAGCTAGCCACCTTTTAGTTCCTGTGGGTACTAGGGAGTCCAAGTGGGGGCTAGGACTAGATTAGAGATGTGTACAAATAGACAACCTAAGTTGACCTCTTAAGACCATTTCATATCATATATTTATTATTTATTATTCATTATTCATTCACTGAATTAGAAAAGTACTGTGACAAATGAGCCTCGCCTAACTTTTCGTGTCTCATTGCTGTGCACTTTCTGTCCAGCTTGTGGCATATATGAGAGTATTTCTACTAGTTCCTCCCTCCATAGTTGAGCAATGCCGAAATTCGTATACAACAAATCAATACATGATTTATTTATTTATCTTTGGTTATGGATATAAAGAAGTGGAGGTGGTGATCATCGTCCTAGTATCACATGAGGTCCCAAGTTTGAGTCTAAAAGCATTAAGTTGGTTAATGAGTTCAAGCGATTACACTTTTTGTGGTCGAATTATCGTACCTATTCAACTTTTTAACGAGAAAAGTAAAAATGGATTCAGAAAATTATGTGTGAGGGCTGGACCTTTAATAATAAGATGATTAAAAAAAAAAAAAGTGGGGGAAATAGTGGTATTTTTTTGTAATTTTAATGGGGTAATTTAAGAATTTTATAGGTATATAATTCAGAAAAAGGAAATTAATAGCTATATAATAATAATAATAAAATCAATGGGGCCTGCAATTGGCCCCACAGTCCTCACTGGACCTTCACTAGGTTTGTGGCTGGCAGAAGTACCTAGTAACAACACGCGCCTGAACACTACCTGAATGAATGTTTGACGTAACACTAGATCAAAGACTGAACCTGCTTTAATAACACTTCTAATGAGCACGGACCTAACCCAAAAGCTTAAATGTGAGGCCATGAGACCAAGTACAGTTATAAAAATTAAAAATTCTCAATTATTTGCAACTTGATTTAGAAGATAAGCCCTTAGTGTGCCAAAAGTTTGCCTCAGCAGTGTAGAAGTATTGGCTTCCAACTCCTTAATGGTGTCCACCTTTATAACAGCACCTTGGGATTATTTATCATTCTCATAGAAAGCGAAAGAGTTTTTTAAGTTTGATGTGGCAGACGACTAGGGACTAACAAATCAAAATAACCTTAGACATTGAGGGAATGCATAAGAAATATGAAGTGTTCAAAATTATTTGAATTATGGTGTCCAACTTTCAAGTTTATTTTAATTTGACGTGGTAGGTAAAAGAAAAAGTTTTATTTTTATTTTTTGATTAGGTAAATTACTGCATATACACCTACAAATATCTATTATGATGTTCGAACCTCACCTACTTTTTGGAAGGAAAAAAAAAGAAAGTTAGATCATCTTAACCGATATAAGGGGGTAAGTTACAAAAGGTAAACTAGTGATACTAAAACAAGTAAATATTTAAATTTTATTTCCTCCGTGTTTTTGTGTAATGAATCTCGAGTGAAGTGAAACATAATTCTTAAGTAATTGTCCGATTTACGTGGGATGGGGGATTGTATGTATTTGTGGTGAGTTATAAAGTGCTTTAAGAGATCCAACACTATAATCGTTTAAAAAGATGAAAAAAAAATAAAAATAAATAAATAAATAGATGTTTGAAAGGCAAATATGATTCAACAATATTGATTAAATTTAACCTGCAAGTCTAACTCTTTTTTAACATTGTAATAATAAGGGCCTCGTGTGCAGCTGAGTTGGTAACTCAACACTTAGAAATACATACACATATATGTATTTACTAATTTGAAGCTTCGTGGCGTTCATATCCTAATTGAATTTGAATTAGTTAATCGAGTGAAAATGAAAAGCCATGGGCTATTAACAGCTGGATTGACAAGTCGTGTTTGGTTCTCACGCACTAAGCACTGTGAAATCAGGTAATGCGCAGAAGCCAGTCAAAACAGGTAAGCATAGATAGATAGCCCCCATGTGTCAAAGTTTGGATAGTAGTATTAGGGGCAAAAGCACTCGTATTTATAATTTTATAACCTATATATTTACATTTTTATAACTATTATTGAGTATATAACACGTTGGCAATATGCAAAAAGTGGTATCCATCTGTACCAGCTAGAGAGAAAAAGGTGTACAAATACACTTTTGGTAGGTGATATTTGGTCATGGCCATCCATTTTGCAACCTCAGAGATTGCAATCCTATTTAAAATAGTAAAAAAATTTAGCTGATAGAGACATTTGGTATTTTCTCAATAGACCAATATTCTGTAATGGTCCAACCTATGCAAGTATTAAGAAGAATTGGAGATGATATTAGTTTTATACAAGTACACAGATCATTTGATAGTATCCTTATTTTACTTTCCTCTCTTATCCTGGAAGTTTTAGATATCATTGAGTTCATACTGAGGGCCGTTTGGCATGCATTGGTTTATACGTTTTGTTTTTTATTAAAACAGAAACAATATTTTTTTTAGAAGATTGTTTTGAAAAAAAATCGAAAGTACGTTTGAAAACAATATTTTGCTGTGAAAATATCATAAACAAAAACATATAAAGTTATGATTTTGGGCCATGAACAATTGTCAAAATAAATAAATAAAAAACATATTTTTAGTGTTTTATTTTTGGACCACCGTTCACGAAGGTTTAGCACTGTGTAAAATAAAATAAAGCCACACCAAACATGTTTTGTTACCAAAATCGACACTATAACAGTCCAAAAAACAAAAACAACATAAACAAAACGCATGCCAAATGGGGTTGAGCTCTATATGGTCACATACCAAAAGGAAACAACAAATACACTAATCTGCCCCTAGTTAAGATGTATTACACTTACCCCCATGTGTTTTGGTTAATAACATTTACCTACATTCTAGTTACTAACAATCCGACCCCTGCCACTAATTTCATGGTTAGAGATAGTCAGTGCTGAAGAGAAAAGTTTTTTTTTAACTTCATATGACAAATATGCCATCGAATACTTGATGCGCAAAAAGAAAATTATACCCCCAACTCACAGCATTTTCGTCAATCTAATGTTCTTTAGTTAAGAGTATAATTGTCTTTTCACATGTCAAACAATGAATAAAAGTCTTTCATAACGATTTGAAAGGCATTTTTGTCATATGAAACTAAAAAATTTGTCATATCAACATTGACCATCGTTTAATCGTTAGTGAATCTAACATCGTTAGTGAATCTGACGGTAGATGTTTGTTCGTTGCATACATGTAACTAAAATGAAGGTAACTGTAATTGTCCAAAACACATGGGAGGTAAGTGAAATAAACCCCAACTAGAGGAGAGGTAAGTGCTAGAATAAAAGCCCCCTTTTAAAATAGATAGAGCCAGTGCAACCTCTTAGAGTAAGTAATGAGCCAAATGCTCCCTTTCCAACTACCAAGTGAAGGTTCTGGTTGGTTTGGCATTGACCACAATGCATGGGGACCATTCTCCAATCCATACATATAATAAAATTTTACTGAGTGGTGTTTTTTTCACAAAAACAGATCTTCTAAACATCAGCAAAGAAAGGCGTTCAGCTAAATTCAATCAACATTGCTCCAAGTCAGCCACACCACACCCAGAAAATAAAATTTTTAAAAAATAAAATAAAAAACTACAAAAGAAAAAGTTGTGAGCTCTCTGGGATGGTGATTGTAATGGCGTGAACCATGATCTTACTCTTTTCATTAATGGATGATGGGTCCTAACCACAAGGAACATGATGGAAGACACAAGAATGGGACCAAACATGTGTATTCATCATTTTTTTCAAAAATGTTGCTCCTCATTATCTACTTCCTACACCTGTGAAATTGGGATGAAATTGAAAAGGACAAGAGAAGTAGTTATGGCCGGTGGGCTTAGAACTGGTAAGCAACAAAAGGTATAACCACCCTACCAACCAAATAATACCACTTCCCCAACACTTCCAATCTCAACCTAGCAACTGTAACAGAACCATCAACAAGCATGTGCAAGGTGTAAAGCAGAATACCTCAAAAGTCAATCAGCCTGTTCCCCTCCTTTCCATGTGTCTCTTGCCTTTGTTATTGGAGGGGGTGGGGAGGAGAGAGCAATCATAGTAAAGAAGGTGTGACCAAGAAAAGAACAAGCAATTACTTCTCTAGAATATACACAGACCTTACAATACAGGAGTAGATCAGCCAAGATTAAGAACTGCTGCAGTTATATGTAAATGGCAAAAGGCAAATGAGTAGGATTGAAGAGATGTAACCGTAAAGTTCAGTAGAAGATGAAAAATGTCAAGAAGGTTCAATTCCATTATGCAAGAGACTCTACTGTTCAGTTGCCAAAAATGCCTTTGGAATATGAAGTTATATTAATTCGGGAGAGAGGCGCCTCCCTCCTCCTCCAGAGAAAAAATGTGTGCTTTATTAACCAATCCACGGAACTGAAATTGGCTCAAACGTAAAGAGTCAAGGCCCATTTGAAAATTGGAAACTTTCAGACAGTAAATTGTACTTAAATACTAGAATTGGTTTGGAAAGATTTTGTGGTCCCATGTGACTCTCAATTGACTACAATTTCTAGTACAACCGCTGTAAAGGAGTTGACAAGAAGAACAATCTTCTGACAAAATTACCGGTAAAAAGAAGAGTTGATTGCTACCCTAAACCTATTAAATCAATTTTCGTTTACATATATGAAAATCATTCAACGTCAAATAATTCACAACAGGACAATGACTTGCAAGTAATCATATTTTACCTAAATACTCACTAGGATCAGTGATCCAACTTTCGATACAATTAAATAAGTTGTGCCTTTTTCAGGTCAGAAAGAACTCCTCTATCTTCAGTGCTCCGCTCGTTATAAAGAACCTGCATAAGATTAATAAGAAAACAATTTAGGTAAGCCAGATAAAGAAATATAAATCTGATGCCGGATATACCTTATCAATGATGCCGTATTCAACTGCTTCACTAGGACTAAAGTATTTTGGACGCCTTATGTCTTCTTCAATCTGCTCTGGTGTTTTTCCAATATGCTTTGAGTAAAGTTTAACCTTCAGAAAGAAAAAAAAAAAAAAAAAGGTTATATTGGCTGAGGTCTGGATGCATGTCCAAATGCATAGCTGGTAAATTTAATAAGTCCTCACTCAATCCGCAATCATTTTTTTTTGATAAGTAATAATAACATAAAAAAGGTGTTCAAAAGGGGAACGCATCTCTTATACAAAAATGGAACTGGGACTAAGGCCACAAAGAATCCAAAAAAATAATTAAATCATCAATCCTCAATCATTTAAGCATAAAGGATAGGAGCAATTGGAAATATCCAATAATAAATGTTGATATCAAACAAGGTACAAGTCTTTAGTTTTATTTTTTATTTTTCAATTAAGTAGAACGAGAAAGATTATAGTTCTGTTTGGTTTGCACATTTAACAACACACAAAGAAATGCAGATGAACACACCCCCACCCCTTTTCTTCTTTTTTTTTTGGTCTGGTCACCATTGATAACACCGAGAGAACAAATATGAGGAAAAGCAAGGCAAAAAGTATTAATTTAAATGTCATTTTTCTTTCCTTTTCCGATTTTCCTACTTTTTATTTTTTATTTTTATAGTTGTAAGTTCTAACATGCAAAAAATCAAGGCTCTAAACTTCAACCTGGAAGTTAAAAAATGGTTTACAATCAGTGGAAATCGGTCAGGTATTTATTTATTTATTTTTGTCTCTATCGGTCAGGTAAATTGATGATGATACTTTTGGTTGTAACATATGGAATCCTAATTATTAGAGGAAGTCATCAAATTTTGACACTTAACCCCTCTCTATCTCTCTCACACACACACACACACTACAGCATAATTTTCCCCCAAGAAGTCCATAAGAATTGATAGAAGAGGGATAAAACATATATATAATTGATCCTTAATATTACCAACTCTGCCTTCACATTCTTCACTTCTTTTCTAGCAAGCTCGATATCTGTTGCTTGACCTTGAAACCTTGCAATCGGCTGCAGATACATGGGGATACGATATTAGTATTTTTATCCAAAAACCTAATCAGTGTCTTTGAACCATCTAAATAAAATGATAACGTTATTTCTGACCCAGAGACAGCAACAAAGCAACAGATGGACGAAAACAAATTTGCCCAAAACATTAGAAAAATGACAGATAACTTGCCTGCTTAATCATTATTGTTGATGATGGCAAGGCCGAACGATTTCCTTTTGAACCAGCAGCCAAAAGCAAGGCTGCTTCTCCCCAAGCATTGCCAACACAAAGAGTGAAAATAGGTGGCTTGACATATCTGCAGTCATAAAAGAAAGGCAACTGCTATAAATTTCACAGGCTCCATTGAATTTAGGAGGAAAAAATTATATAGAGGGATGCAATACATTTCTCTTTCACACATTATCTCTTCCAGCAAGACATTTTCGACATCACAAATTACATGCAAATTTAACAAAGGGTGTGAATCACTGGTTATCACAACTAAATTAGGTCCATAAGCTTATACACGAATCCATCAAATATGATAAATTTGAGTCACCATTATGCATACATGAATAAAGACTAACTTATTACTTCAGGAACTCTTGATATTTTTGGTTAAAACTTCTGAAAATGAAAGCACAAAATACCTGACTACTATCCTCTTCAAAAGGGCATCTTTAATGTTCTTCAAATTTTTGATGCTTACGTTGACCATAGAGTCCCAAAGTTTCTTCAGAAGGTCTAGAGTCCCAAAGTTGATTTCAAGTACCAAGCATAATTTTCCTTTGCACTCAATGATATGGGGGTTAAGATTTAGCATTTAGAATTAAGACGAGTGCAAATTTTATTTATTTATTTAATATTCCTATATCAATTATAAAATGAATAAGACAGAACCCAGATGACCTTCCAATCTACTTCCGGTGACGTATCTATCTTGATGTGCACTTAACCCAATAATCTGTAACCCAGATTAAGTATTTCACAATGAGGTTTTATGTCTGCCTAAGGCAATCATCCTCTTATAGGCTTGGGGGACTGAAGAGCAAATTCTGCAATTATGTCAAAGTCTATTTTCCCTCTTACGTTGCACCAAGAGTACTAAATTCAGTTAAAGCCTTCTAACTAATTGCAGGTTTATCCGAACCTTGATGTATCAAATGGAGCTAATCAACAGAAAATATAGCTACATGAACATTCACGTGTAATCAATTAGCACAATGGATCATATCTTCTATTAGAAAAGCAGCTGCCACAAGTCAGTATGGTATAAGTTCTAGCTTTGGGCTTATTTAACTCCAGCAGACAAAATCAGTTCATACAGATGTACATCAATTCACATAAAACTTTTGAACTGATTGCATGAGTTTTAAGTGAACCTCAATGTATCAACATAGCAGCTCCAACATCAGTAATAAACAGAACATACGGCTACGCACACATTCAGGTGTAGTTATTATGCAAAATGGATGTGTTGTGAATGCTACCAAAAGCAGCTGCTAGAAGTCAGTATGGTATAAGTTCAAGCTTTGGGCATATTCGACTCCGAGAGAAGAAATCAGTTCAAACAGATGCATATCAATTAATTCACTTCAATGGAGAAAACTAGAGGTAGCCTTGGGAAAACCATGTAAACAGTACAATAGAGGAAACAGCTCATATAGTGGAATAAAATCGAAGACAATGTCCAAAAGCTTTGCCATAATATAAAAGAAGGTGGGAAAAACATAGACAGCAAAGAAGGGAAAAGAAAACGATACAGTTGGGCGCAGAGTGCAGGTCTAAACTATTATATATATTAGCAATAATTCATTTGAGAGGGGGGAAAATGCAACACCCTTTGCAAAAAGCAGAAAAAAGCTTCAGCAGATGTACTAAAAGGAAGTCAAACTAGAGAGAGACCCTTGACAAGAAATTAGATGTTCTAGTAATTACTAATATGTCCACTATTTTGCATAATTTTGTGCTGGGACTAATTTCTTGGATTTCCATGTGAGTTGCACATTTGCATATAGTTACTTGTTCAAATGTTGAATTTGAGGAATCTATTACTCAAGTCCAACCAGCTAGAGTAAATGTGTTTCAAATTTCCAAATTTTAAACTCTGGCTTAAGTCCAACCATTTTGTCTCCAAAGAGAATAATGTTCTCCATGCGTCGGTATTGCCAAAAAGTTTTCCATAATGCGGAGGATCATCATTCTGTAATGCTTTGAATGCAATGCATGACCTGCTTATCAAATTAAGGCAACTCTTTAATGACATACTAATGAAGAGCATAAAGATTTATAACCTCATAACATCATAAATAGCAAAAGCTTCTGTCTCATAACCCAACTTCTCTCCACCCTGGAAAAAGTGCAGAAGCGTATTAAAATCAATAGTCAGTACATCAGACATCAATAGATTATTTAATCATAATATTTTAAAAAAGTTTCCATATAATATATCAGGACACAACTCAAGGATAACCCAATGACATAGTTTAGCACAAACCCTGGAGAAAACAAAAGCAAAAATGCTAGCAAGTGCTGCATAGAAAAGACAATATCATTGTATCAGTAATCCATATCGAGTTTTGCAGAAAATACAAGCAGAACTCTGATAAGTTAATCCATGTAATATTTAAGTGTAAAAGAGATAATTTACATTAAGCGTGATATTAAAATGTTTCCTATCACTTGGTAATTACACAAGGTTCCAGTGGCGTCTGACTTGTGATGGAACTCATTGCACGGAATCAGTCATGATTCAGTAACAAATGCTGCCTAGATGAGTTGTCATGGCTTATAAGATCTAGATGGATATTATGCAGACACCACTTTATTATTTTCTTTCTTGACTTGTTCTTGAAGAATAAATACGCAGACATGGAACATAGACACACGATAAAGCAAGGATATGCAGACAAAGTAAAATCTAAAGAGTAGGATATGAACACGACAAGGACATGACAGTGCATAAGTAATAATCATATACATATATTTTATGGGGTGTACCTAAAACTTTGATTGATTGTTTGAGGTTCTATATTAATAATACTATATGTGGGAGATAGAGCTTGACAAATTTCATAAACATAATCATATTATAGATTACTATTATCATAGTCTATTTTCCTTTCTAGTTACACCTCTATGCTACATCAGAAGTGTTTGTTGCATGCTTGACCAATAGCAACCATGTGCACGAGGCTCTAGTTAAGAAACATTTGAGCAATATGAATCTTTTGCTATAAGAAATGTCCAGAAAAGTGTTAGATAAGTGTCCAAATTCATTAAAGATAGAAGCTGTCCAAATTCATAAAGATATTTCTACATTTCTACATCATGGAGAAGTCAAAACAGAGTCAGATTTGTGTATAGGAGTGTTCAATAATGCCAGTGTCCAATACATGCAGGGTAATTATTATTATTATCTTGAATTAACATTTCGCATTAATACTTTTATATGTTCTACAATTTTATTTTTCTTTCTATAATATTGTCAATTGATATTATTCAGTTCTACCATTTGACATTTTGACTTATGTCACTTATCAAGAAACTCAACTCAGAAGACAGCTTTAATTTTCTTAAAAATAAGATATTTGAAGTAAGAAAGTAATCAATTTTTTTTTTAGTTGGTAAGAAAAAAAAAAAAAAAAATTGATTACTTTTTAAAAATGCCCTTTTATATCTTCACCAAGCAAAAAATTCAATTTCAAATGACAAAATTTTAAAAATCAGTTATGTTTCCTGTGAAATCACAAGTCATACAAGTTCTGGTTCTACATCACTATATTAAAAATGCCTTGGGAGAACTGAAAGTTTATAAAGTTTTGAAGTAAAAAATAAGAAACTCCATCAAGAAAGTGGTAGCATCACCTGTTATAGGGGAACCTTAAAATTCGTTTAATGACCTCTTCAATTGATTTTAAACTCATTTCCACAATCCAATTGTTGCCTATATTGTAATTCAGCTTGAGTACTGACGCTTACTTTTGATATTTTTAAAACCTGAACTTTCTGGTGTGTATATCCCCAACATCTTCAAAATGTTTCTTTAAGGTTTTATAGTTCTACAATAATTAAACCCCTGTAAATGGTTCCTCTTCCTGGAGGGCAACCAACATTTAACGTGAAATGAAGAATTATATATTGCTCAAGATTGGTTCTGAAGTCTGAGCATAACCAAATTCTGTTTCCTACCTTCAGCAAAAGTTATCCTTCTGTGTGTTGAATTCAAAGAAAGTAGGGGCAACATTCAAGGAAAAATTACAGATATTACTTAGGTGATCTCACAAGAACTCCACATTTTAGCATTGAAGAATAAGTTATACCCAAATATACCAGCCATAAATTTAAAGATATGCAAGGGATAATTTATAAGCAATTTGAACAAGATAAGTAACATAGTTAACCTTTGTTGTTCCAGTGGAATTTACGTAAAGGTAAATTGGCTTCTCCTCATCCTCATACTGAAGGTAAAGGAACTCTGCAAGTATCAACTCAGTGACAGATGGAACAAGAGACATGCCCAAGTAAACAATTCGATTCTTATACAAGTAAGATGCCAAATCTGGAGGAGGTTGCTCCCATGCACTTCCCCTCGAAAAAGGAATGACCTGTTTATAGAAAAATAATTTAGAGGACAAGTGATAATAATGGTGACGTATTGAAGACTAAAAAGAATCCTAACAGAACAAAATATGGACAACAAAGATGACATGGATATAAATGCTGCTATAAGTCTACCAGTCTATATATTCACATATTGCGAAAATTCTTGGAAATGATTATTTAAACTTAGAGGAGCATTTTGTGTGTGCAGTGGTCAGAATAAGTGTGAAGAACTTTTCAGTGCCATTTGAAAGCACTACTACAGAAACACAGAGCTCAACTATCAAAAGTTTTTTTTTTTTTTTTGATAAGTAAAATTTCATTGAAGGCACTCAAAAGGGGAGCGCTCCCAAAGAGCAACAAGCCGCCTAAACACACACTACAACTAACCATCAAAAGTTTTTGCTTCAGGATAGGCAATTCTATCATCGCCACTTACTAAAGTACTCTCTGCTCTGCTTTCAGATTCACTCTACAGAGTACAAATTTTTCCAAAGAAACAGAGGATCTCCACTGATATAGGCATCACCCAGTGGGCGCAAAAAGAGAGAAGAGAACATGCCACAAGTCCTAGTCACCAGACAATGTCAAATAACTAACTGTTTCTGCATCCCTTATGCAACAACAGTGCACAAGCCAATGAGATGATAAGCCCACACCTTGTTTTTCACTTTTTTCCCATGGTGCAACCATAATACTGGATTTGAGACGTAATCCAGTTGCTTTGAGGAGTTTGACTTGATAGAAGGAATAGGGGTTCATTAAGCGAGATGCTCTCCCTAAACAAGCTAGCATCTTGCAGCTTAGCCGTACATAAAAAATAGAGTGAAGCACAGTATTGTACTAGAAATAGCTAACATCCAAACTACAATCTTGTCCAATCAGCCAATTCCATGCAACCAGGGCTACAGGCACAACAGTCACTAAACTAAAGACTTCACCCTTGCAGCCGAAGCTTCATTATTGGCCCAAAGACAAGCTAGACGTAAATCAAAAGTGCGCCGTTGTAACTACAAACTGAACTCATCGTTATGTTCAACATTGCTTGTTATTGCTACTCCTCTCCTACACACCACATTAAATGTCCTCTTATTCAAGCTAGGAACATGACCCCCTTACAGCTTGCTTGGGATTTTTACAAAATTTAAGTAATACTTGGTGACAAAAAACCATGCATTTGAATCTTAGTGATGGGGATATATTTCCCTTTTCCCTCATCAAATTTCAATTTTCTTTTTACTCCTTATTCTCTCAAAGGAAATGTTCCAACCAAACACCCTTTGGACTCACGGCTGCAACGTAAACCCTAGATATGTCTGCAATCACTAGACCAAAGATATCGTTTAAACTAGGATTTGAACTTGAGATATTAAGGTAGTAACCCTAAGATCCTGCCATTTTAATTAAACCAGGATTCAGAAGTGAGACCTCAAGGTAATGTCAATCTATCAACTTGAATAAGGACTCGATTCATTTTCTGTTTCCCATTTTAAAATAAAATAACAATAACAAATTTGAGTAGCACATTTATATTTATCCAACATATGTTCATATCTTTAATATACCTCCATATTAGATGCCAGTTTCCCTCTACGAAGTTTTGTTCCTTTCCCCAATTGCATATGTGATTTAGGCATCATTGAATACCTATGTTTATCTCTCAGTATGTACCAATATCAGCTTAATGCATTGTTATCATCCAAATTATTATCTCATATAGCAGCAATAAGGATACATGTTGCACGTTTTAACAGTGATAGTATCTGTACTCCCTATGGAAATTCTTTGCCTCTTTCAGTGGTCATAAACAAGTAAATATGGCACCATAACAATGCATCAAATAAAACACATACCCATATTGTACATTATTCTTTCACTTAAAATTAAATGAATCAGAATTTCTCAAAATACCTCATTTGAAAAACCGAAAACCCTTTGCAACTTTTTCAGTCCAAACCTTAATTTTAAAATCCCTCATTAGTGAAATTAAGTAATTCATGTAACAATTCGAACCCTTTCTACCCTCGGTTATTGCCCAATTTTATCAGTCTCCCACAAACTTAAATACATATATACATATATATATGGATATATATACAAAAACAAGTACATGTTTATATAAACAAGCAAAGTGGGTATCTAGATAAGGGATAAGGTATAATGAACAAATATAAAGGTTATTGGGGGTAGTACCATGGTGACGACGCCTCGCTTGGCATGAGAGCCTGAGGAAGGCAGATTGGGGTTGAGGGAAGGGGGTCGGATCTTCAAGCCGGATAAATCACCGGCGACGCTTCCGCCGACGAGCGGAGAGAGAAAATTGGTTGATAAAGATGATCTAATAGAGGAGGAAGTAACGGTTCGTTTTGGAAAGGTAGTTCGTGTACGCGTGGTGGGGAAGAAGTGCGAAGCTACGGTAGCCATAGCTGCAGAGAGAGAGAGGGTGAAGTGATGTTGGAAGTTGCGATTAGAAGAAGGGCTTGGCAATGGGCAGAGCAGAAGAGGTGACCCGGACAACGTTCCGGTCCGGTTCATGAAATGGACGGTCCGATGGCTTTCTCAAGTTGGAATCAGATCCTCTACATTGCAAATTTGCGTACTACGTGTGTATATATATATATATTTATTTATTGACTAAAATAATTGTAGAATTTTAATTAATTTATAATTTTTATATTAAAGTTATATTAATTAGAACTCTTTAATCTTGTCATTATATTTTTGTTATAAATTTTTTTTAAAAAAATTGAACAATTGAATGTGCTTTCAACTGTCATGTGTTTGATTTATATAAGATTAAGAGTGTATGATGTGTTTATAAAATGTTTGGAATGCGTTGATCAAATATTTGAGATGTATTAGTTGAACATTCAAAATGTTTTGATCAAAAATTCAAAATAATAAAAATTATTCATAAACTATGAACACAATTATGAAATGTTGGACAAATGCTCAAGCGTGTGAGTGACATAGACAAGACAACTTCGTGAAAATGTCAATGCTTTTACAATTTGCATAAAAGATGACAACACTTTTAGATAAATATGATTATTCAAGAATATAATACTTACGCAACATATTGTATATGAGATGTAAAAATTATGACGATTTTATTTTTAAAAATACAATATATTTACATTGAAGTTATATTTTTGATGCAATGATGTTGTTGTTTATATATCGATAAAAAATCACAACTAATAACGAAAACAAAATCCGTAAAGAAGGCACGTAGCAGATCTAAGATCAGAATAGGCGAAGTCAACAAAACAATAAACTAAAATCATGTGGAATCTGCAGAGACTCGGGAGGAGGTTGCTTAGGCCATTTTTAAATAATCGGTAATCAAATCCCAACCTTTTAGGAAGATGGAGAAGGAAAATCAGATTATCAGTTGTCAAAAAGTTTCACTCTGAAAGTATTCTGTCACAGAAACAATCCTTAGTTTGAGAATAACAAATTTGGTCTTTTTTTTTTTTTTTTTCAAAAAAAAAGGAAGTTAATACTATAGACTTCACTGGTACTAGACTTGCCAAACATGCTTGGACAAGCATGGCCAAGCCCAAACACAAAAGTAGGTCAACAGGAGCCAAGAACTAAACCTATAGCAGTGGCCCAAAAGAAGCTAAAAAAACTCTGAGCAAAACAAGGAATCAACGTGCAGCCCAAGCCCAACAAGTGACCATTATAAACTCATTTGTGTACATTGAAGTCATTCAACTTTGCGTTTTCCAAGTAACCGTAATTTGAAATTCCTAGGTGCACATATGAGTAATTTTGGCAAATATAAAACTATATATGAAATTTTCATTCCTTTCCATTTGCCCTAACATTCTCATATGATAATTCTTAATTAATACTTTGAAAGATTAAAGAATTTCAATAAAAAAAATAGAAACAAATATAAGCGAGCCTTATAACGAGTATACGGTTTACGAATATATACGAGCCTATGTTTACGAACATAAATAAGCCTACATGAGTTGAATCCAGCAGATCGATTCGTTTACTAAACAAGCATAGAAATCGAGTTGGAGCTGGAACTGGAGCTAAAGTTCGACTTGTTTGCTTAACGAACGAGCTCGAGCCAAATTCATTCTCTTTGGTTGGTTGCAGCCCTTTAAGGGATGACAAAGATTCCTTCATGTTTGGAGGGTTTCTAAGCAACAAAACAACATTGTTTTTGTGCATAGCACGGAGTCCACGTGTGCACCAAAAGATGTTATTTGGTGCATAGGACTTTTCCAATCAGAAGGCGGGAATCCACTTTACAATATAAAAGTCATGTATTCATTTTAGTTCAGTTGTTAAAAATAAAATATACAATTTTTTTTAGTTCTATATGAAGAATTATTATTAATGTCTTGATTTCTTTTATGAGGCTGTGAAATTGTTGTTAAGTAAAAAATTGATTAAGAAGATTAAGGTAAAAGCCAAGAACAATATGGGCTTTAACAGCTTTTGACGTCTTTCAACTTCCAATGGAATTGGATAACAGAGAGATTGGGGATATGCTATGCCCACTAAAGCGTTGAGAGGTATATCTGTTAACCATGACCCCCTTGAAGAAATAGATGATCAGATCAACAAAAATAAGTCACAGTGCCACAAATTAAACAAGTCATTTGGACTTAATGTGCACAAGAAATCGTCAGACACAGACAAGTATCAGGCGGTACTAACAGTGGCTGTACTGATTGCAACAGCCACATTAATTCCAAGCCGTGCACAGCCATCCTGGTGGATTCTGGTAAGATGACTACTTCCCACGGTGGAGGGAGTGTTTCGTAGAGGACCACATCTTGCAGGGAGGTCAACAATGAAACCATGGCAGTTCTGCATGTGTATTCTATTTGTTGAACAGCGCAACATTTTATGCGTCCATGAGCATAATCCGACTCCACACAATAGGCCTTCCTCCTAAACTACTAGATATATCCCCTCACACCGTGATACACGGACTCAATAATCTCCCATTATGCTAATACTTCGATTTGCTCAGAATTTAATTCAAAACATCGCATTTATAATGCTCACATCTATTCGATCACTCTTCCTTTTAACTTAGCTTCTTGATAATGTTTCTAAGGTAATTGCACTGAAGTTCAAATCTCTACTTCATTCTGGTTAGAGGGGTTCACAATGATCAGATCGAGAGGAGGGCTACCCTTGTTGTGTGAGATATTATTAAGTGGATCAAGTTCACAACATCAATTATGCATGGTCCGACTCTTCAAAACTTGAGTATCAACATTTGTGCGTGTGCGTGCTCGGTTTTTTTTTTTTTTTTTTCTCTCACTCTCTCCCCCATTTTGTATGCTTATGAGAGCGTAAAGAACTTACACCAGACTAATATGTTAAGGGAAAAGTTAAATTTGTGGATCAGTTTTTGTTCACGATTGATGTGACAATAATTGAAATACACACCCTAGAAAGACTGAAATTAAGAGAGAGAGATTCAATTGTGATTCAATATTGACAACAGTACTTAGTTCCACAAGTTATTGAAATAGCAGAGATAACTGATCCGTGTTGGTAGAATGACTCACATGTTAAGCAACGTTCTTGTTGTGTGGCTCATGTTCAGTCTTGTATCAAAAGAAAATGGTGGAACTTGCTACTAGGTGGAAGACTTGAAAAGTCCATGTGGTGTATATGTTTGTGAGAAGGAAAATGAAAAGTAATTTGACTTCTTTTTATATGAGTGAAGAATAACGTCATTACGATGTTAGTTACTATATGAGTGAAAAATCACGTCAAGATGAAGTCTCGTTCAATTTGCCATAAACAGTATGAAATCTATCCATAAGCACCTGGCTTTCATATGTCTAATTAATTAATTTGTAAATTAAACAATTAATGTGTGTGCCTTCCTCCTCCGTAGTCTAACAAATGATCCAACGGTCTCAATCACTCTCATCAGCTCTCCTCCTAACCGCATCGCTCTCGTTCTGCCCCTTGGATGAATCCTCCATTTTCTCTCTTCCTTCCCCACCCTCCATCCCTCCATTATTTAAGCATCTTAATTACGATCCAACTCTTTTAATTTTTTTGGAAAAATGGCTTTTAAGGGAATATAGAAAAAACGACGGAATTTAATAAAAGTAGGTTGAGTGTCTCCGTCGATAGCTATGGGCTTTGTTGACCGAGGAAGCTGCACTGAATTTTCTTTCATCGTGTAAGGTTTATAACAAGACTCCTTTAAAATATCGAGAAGAGAGGTAGGTGGTGACAATGCTAACTTGGCATACATTTTCAGCACATATAATATAAAACCGTAGCTGTCTTAGAATGGATGCCAGGTTGAGGGAGGCTGCTTATGAAGGAAACATCGAACGCTTGTATGCATTAATTCGAGAGGATCCAAGTATTTTGGAGCGCAATATCGATGATAAATTGTTAGCTGAGACTCCTTTACATGTGGCTGCATCAACTGGTAACCATCACTTCGCCGCAGAAGTCATGAGGTTGAAGCCGTCGTATGCCAGGAAGCTCAACCCGGATGGCCTTAGTCCCACGCACCTTGCTCTTCTAGGTAAGCATGATGGCATGGTGGAGTGGTTCGTCTCGATTGACAGCAGCCTAGTCCACGACAAAGGAAGAGACGGCACAACTCCTTTGCATCATGCGGTTGCTGTGGAAAATGTCAATCTTTTGAGATTGTTCCTATTGGCTCGCCCACGCTCTATTGAAGATTTGACAGCTAGACGAGAAACTGCACTGCATATTGCTCTCAAATTCCACAATCAGCAAATTTTTGAAGTGTTGGTGGAATGGCTAAAAAGGGTTGAGAAGGAAGACATCTTGAATTGGGCTGATGAGGATGGCAACACTCTCTTGCATATGGCAACATCAAAAAATCTAACCCAGGCAAGTTTGTCACATCCAAATTAAATATATATATACAAGCAATTCTTTTTTTTCCTATTGTACAGTGATTTGAGAGCCAATATAATCTTCTCCATGTTTATTTCATGATTAATTAACGCTGTCTCTTGTCTACCTTATAGGCAGTAAAAGTGTTGTTGAGCGAAAAAGTGATTAAAAAGATAAATGTAAATGCCAAGAACAACATGGGCTTAACAGCTTTGGACATCTTTCAAGTACTTCCAAAGGAATTGGACAATAAAGAGATCGGGAATATGCTATGCGGAGCTAAAGCATTAAGAGGAATATCTGTTAACCATGACCCCCTCAAAGAAATACATGATCATATCACCAAAAACACGTCCCTGCTTGAAAAAGTAAAGAAATCGCGAGACAGGGACATGTCTCAGGCGGTACTAACAGTGGCTGTACTGATTGCAACAACCACATTTCAAGCCGTGCTCAGCCCTCCTGGTGGATTGTGGCAAGATGACAATAGTATCCCACAAACTGTGCCTCGCAACTTTAGAGCACATATTGCCGGGAAGTCAACAATGAGGCCATGGCAGTTCTGTGCTTTCTATTTGTTGAACAGTGTGACCTTTTATGCGTCGATGAGTATAATTCGCCTCTACACAATAGGCCTCCCTCATAAACTGTTGGATATATCTCAAATCTTTCTCAGTGCAACCTATTCTTGTTCTTTGATCCTTATCACACCGATGACCCGAGACACTTACACCCTTACAGTAGAAAACAGAATATGTTGCCAGTTGGTAATCCTTTTACATTGTCTGAATTTTATTCATATCATCGCATTTATAAGGACCTCGTGGTGGCTGAGGTTACTTTACTTTCTTAACAGACAAATTAGACTACCATACATGTTCATTCTCATCTTCTTCATTATGTTTTACGTTATTCCTTCTTATGTAATCTACTAGTTCACCCATGCGCAGACACAATCTTGTAACTAGCTTGTTGTTAAGGTTGGAGGGTTGACAATGGTTGGGGGCGAGGCCAGGCTACCCTTGTTCATGTACAAGATTCTGTGATATCATGTTGTATATTGATATAATTGTTGTTTTGATTAATATATATTGCTCTCCCTCTATATTTTTATTTTTATTTTTATTTTTTTAAGTTAGCTGAATAATAAAACACGGACTAAATGTAATTCACGGGAACTCTAACATTCATCTTTATTTTGAAAAGAAATATCTTTAGAACTAATAGTCAAACTGAAAACACTAATCCAGAATTTTATCTACTAAATAAGGCTAAAGCTTTCATCAAATTCAGCGCTGGATGAGAAATTCTCAACGAGGTTTGATTTGGTTTAAAATTTGCAATGTCGCTACAAAATAAATAGACACCACTTTCGAGTGCAACGAAGCATTGTCTTTCCAGATAAGAGTTTTCACTCTGCAACTGAAGAAAAAAAAAAAAAAAAAAGAGATTATTTTATTAAAAAATATGATTAAAATAACTTTTTTTTTATAAAAAACATAATTTATAAACTTTTTTTAATAATAATTGATATTAGAATCAAAGGTGAGAACTATATTTTTTATTATTGATAAGTAGTTTTAATTTTTAGAGGAATAGTGGTCAATATTATTTTAGTCCATTTTTCTTTTCTACCCACGACTTTCAAAATTTTCACATATATATATTTTTTGTGGCCTCAAAATTTCATATGACAATCAGTCATGATCGGTGTAACGTGGATTGACCGCTGATGGATGCTTTGAAAAGTGACGAGCGAACCATACTTTCAATTTAGTTTAATTTATTTTATTTTTTTGAAAGGTAAGATAGGATACTTTATTCAAGTCCAACGGTTGACAATTAATGCGCCTTCTGTCACCTAAATTTACTGAGACAATAGAAAATAGATGACAATCAATCGAGATGGTCTTAGCCCCCCATTCAGCTTGCTCTGCTAGGTGGCCATGTCAATTATGGTTCCAATCATTTAAAACTTGACATATTTTTATTCTGTTCTTTTACCCATTTCATATGCTTATCCCAGTGTAAAAGTTTAAATTTTATTTATTTATTTATTTTCTAAAAAATAATAAGAGATATAAAATGTACAAATTTTAAAATATATTAATAATTGCATTTAAATATGTAATATTATATATGAAAAATAAAAAAATTTTGACTAAAAATTATTTTATTTTTTTGCATATATTGTATTCATACCGTGTTCTTATCGTATCCGTATTATATTAGTGTCTCGTGTTCGTCGTATCAGTTTCTTAGCCCACAATTATTATTTTTCATATTTAATTTTTTACTCATTAATAGTGATTCAAAATTTTCTCGAGTCATCCCCCATGAATTACTAGTCGTCGAATATTATTCCGGTCAATCAGACTTAAACCTGACTAAGAATTACTAGTCGTCGAATATTATTCCGGTCAATCAGACTTGAACCTGACTAAAATAACAAGAATAAGGGTTTAGACAATTTTGCTCACTAACAAACTATTTTTATGTTGGGCAAAACTGTGAAATAGGTCGACGAAAAAACGATGTAATTTAATAAAAGTGGGCAAGTGTCTCCGTCGATAGCTAAGGCCTTTGTTGACTCTTTTTTATTTTTATTTTTATTTTTTTGTCCGAGGAAGTTGCACTGAATTTTATTTCATCGTGTAAGAAGGTTTATACCAGGACTCCTTTAAAAGATCGAGAAGAGAGCTAGGTGGTGACAACGCTAGCTTGGCATACATTTTCAGCACATATAATATAAAACCGTAGCTATCTTACATCTTCACCAAGCAAAAAATTCAATTTGAAATGACAAAATTTTAAAAATCAGTTATGTTTCCTGTGAAGTCACAAGTCATGCAAGTTCTGGTTCTACATCACTATATTAAAAATGCCATGGGAGAACTGAAAGTTTATAAAGTTTTGAAGTAAAAAAATAAGAAATTCCGTCAAGAAAGGGGTAGCATCACCTGATATAGGGAAACCTTGAAATTCTTATAATGACCTCTTCAATTGATTTTAAACTCATTTCCATAATCCAACTGTTGCCTATATTGTAATTCAACTTGAGTATCTACTGACGCTTACTTTTGAAATTTTTAAACAAATTTTCCTACTATTTTCAAAACCTGAACTTTCTGGTATGTATATCTTCAACATTTTCAAAATGTTTCTTTAAGGTTTTATAGTTCTACAATAATTAAACCCCTATAAATGTTTCCTCTTCCTGGGGGCCAACCAACATCTAACGTGAAATGAAGAATTATATATTGCCCAAGATTGGTTCGGAAGTCCGAGCTTAACCAAATTCTGTTTCCTATCTTTAGCAAAAGTTATCCTTTTGTGTGTTGAATTCAAAGAAAGTAGGGGCACCATTCAAGGAAAAATTACAGATATTAGTTAGGTGATCTCACAAGAACTCCACATTTTAGTATTGAAGATTGAGTTATACGCAAATATACAAGCCATAAATTTAAAGATATGCATGGGACAATTTTTAAGCAATTTGGACAAGATAAGTAAGAGGGTTAACCTTTGTTGTTCGAGTGGAATTTAAGCAAAGGTAAATTGGCTTCTCCTCATCCTCATACTGAAGGTAAAGAACTCTGCAAGTATCAACTCGGTGACAGATGGAACAAGAGACATGTCCAAGTAAACAATTCGATTCTTATACAAGTAAGATGCTAAATCTGGAGGAGGTTGCTTCCATGCACTTCCCCTCGAAAAAGGAATGACCTGTTTATAGAAAAATAAATTAGAGGATAAGTGATAATAATGGTGACGTAATGAAGACTAAAAAGAATCCTAACAGAACAAAATATGGACAACAAAGATAGCATGGCTATAAATGCTGCTATAAGTCTACCAGTCTATATATTCACATATTGTGATAATTCTTGGAAATGATTATTTAAACTTAGAGGAGCATTTTGTGTGTGCACTGGTAAGAATAAGTGTGAAGAACTTTTCAGTGCCATTTGAAAGCACTAAGAGGGGTGCCCACACTTGTGAAACTAATTATACACAGGAAAACCAAAACTATAATCTCATCTCTCCCAAAAACTCTTCAAAAGAAATAGACAATTGATTATCTCCCACTAATACAGAAGCGCAGAGCTCAACTATCAAATTTTTTTTTTTTTTTTTGATGAGTAAAATTTCATTGAAGGCACTCAAAGGGGGAGCGCTCCCAAAGAGCAACAAGCCGCCTAAACAGACACTTCAGGATAGGCAATTCTATCATTGCCACTTACTACAATGCTCTCTGCTCTGCTTTTAGTTTCACTCTACAAAGTACAAATTTTCCCAAAGAAACAGAGGATCTGCGCTGATATAGGCATCACCCAGTGGACGCAAAAAGAGAGAATAGAACATGCCACAAGTCCTAGTCACCAGACAATGTCAAATAACTAACTGTTTCTGTATCCCTTATGCAACCACAGTGCACAAGCCAATGAGATGATAAGCCCACACCTTGTTTTTCACTTTTTACCATCGTGCAACCATAATACTGGATTTGAGACGTAATCCAGTTGCTTTGAGGAGTTTGACTTGATAGAAGGAATAGGGGTTCATTAAGTGAGATGCTCCAGGCTAGCATCTTGCAGCTTTGCCGTACATAAAAATAGAGTGAAACACGGTATTGTACTAGAAATAGCTAACATCCAAACTACAATCTTGTCCAATCCGCCAATTCCATGCAACCGAGGCTACAGGCACAACAGTCACTAAACTAAAGACTTCACCCTTGCATCTGAAGCTTCATTATTGGCCCAAAGACAAGCTAGACGTAAATCAAAAGTGTGCCGTTGTAACTACAAACTGAACTCGTCGTTATGTTCAACGGCGCTCGTTATTGCTACTCCTCTCCTACACCCCACTTTAAATGTCCTCTTACTCAAGCTAGGAACATGACCCCCTTACAGCTTGCTTAGGATGTTTACAAAATTTAAGTAATACTTGGTGACAAAAACCATGCATTTGAATCTTAGAGATGGGGATATAATTCCCTTTTCCGTCATCAAATTTCAATTTTCTTTGTACTCCTTATGCTCTCAAACGAAGTCTAGATATGTCCATCCATCAACTATTTTATTTTATTTTTTTCGTTCTAGGTAACAAGAAAAAGTTCCAACCAAACGCCCTTTGGACTCATGGCTGTAATGTAAACCCTAGATATGTCCGCAATCACTCGACCAAAGATATCGCTTAAACTAGGATTTGAACTAGAGACATTAAGGTAGTGACCCTGACATCCTGCCATTTTAATTAAACCAGGATTCAGACGTGAGACCTCAAGGTAATGTCCATATATCAACTTGAATAAGGACTCGATTCATTTCCTGTTTCCCATTTAAAAATAAAATAATGATAACAAATTTGAGTAGCACATTTATATTTATCCAACATATGTTCATTTCATTAATCTACCTCCATATTAGATGCCAGTTTCTCTCTAAGAAGTTTTGCTCCTTTCCCCAATTGCATATGTGATTTAGGCATCATTGAATACCTATGTTTATCTCTCAGTATGCACCAATATCAGCTTAATGCATTGTTATCATCCGAATTATTATCTCATATAGCAGCAATACGGATACATGTTGCACCGTTTAACAGTGATAGTGTCTGTACTCCTATGGAAATTCTTTGCCTCTTTCAGTGGTCATAAACAAGTAAATATGGCACCATAACAATGATCAAATAAAACATATACCCATATTGTACATTATTCTTTCACTTAAAATTAAATGAATTAGAATTTCTCAAAAGACCTCATTTGAAAAACCCAAAACCCTTTTCAACTTTCAGCTTTCAGCCCAAACCTTAATTTTAAAATCCCTCATTAGTGAAATTAAGTAATTCATGTAACAATTCCAACCCTTTGTACCATCGATTATTGCCCAATTTTATCAGTCTCCCACAAACTTAAATATATATATATATACACACACACACACAAACAAGTACATGTTTATATAAAAAAGCAAAGTGGGTATGTAGATAAGGGATAAGGTATAATGAACAAGTATAAAGGTCATGGGGGGTAGTACCATGGTGACGACGCCTCGCTTGGCATGAGAGCCTGAGGAAGACAGATTGGGGTTGAGGGAAGGGGGTCGGATCTTCAGGCAGGAGAAATCACCGGCGACGCTTCCGCCGACGAGCGGAGAGAGAAAATTGGTTGAT